AAATTTTTGTTCACTGAGAAATATCAGAAAAAAGTATAATTTTTATTCATTGTTATATCATATCAACTTTTTTTCTTCACCAATACTTAAACGTTTTTGTTAACAAAAGCATTTCAGAACTAGTCGCAAACTAATAAAATACTTAACAGTATTTTATTTTATAGATATAATTGACCAAGATATTCTGACAAAATGTCTCAAAAAGCTCGCATTTTATGCGGTGAACTCGAATATCTTAAGTGTTCATATGCCACGAATTGGTTATGATAAGCAAAATATTAGTTGGTATGCAGTCGAGCGACTTATTAATCGCATTCTTGTTTCTAAAGGCATTCACACTTACATTTACTATTTTAACCGGAGAGTGAACAATGCAACTGGTAGTATCATCTTTACTAAGTTTTTAAACTTTTTTTTTTTCAAGTTTCATAAATTATAAATTCAAAACTTATGAATAATTCATTTATTAGATTAATTGTTGTTTATTTGGAGCACTTCATCACACTTTAATTTTGATTTAGTTTAACTATTTGAGCCGAAGAGCGAACACTGTGCTAGGGAAAAAAGAGTAGACTCTACTTCTTACTTAATTCTCACACTCTTTGCCAATACAATGAAGGAAAGGGTAGTGGGATAGGAGCTAACATCTTAAATTTGAATATCAATTAATATTGAAGATGAAATGTTACATTAAAAAAAGCAAATAAAAATTAATTTATAGGTAAAAACATAAACAAAGCTCCAAAAAAGAAGCAGAAATTTTTACCGCTGAAAAAAGGCAGGATGAATGATAAAGCTGGAAGTGACTTTGAAGTAAACCGTTTTAATCATTTTGATGAACAGTTAATGATTTCCTGAAATAATGTTTCATGATTTATGCTTGTTTATTTTGAACTAAGGAATTTCCATATTTTTTTTAATCGTAACTTGTTCTGTGTTGACTTCTTTGAATCCCAAAATGTAAAAATCATAGATCTGCTTTTCTACGATTTTCAGGAAATGAAAGGAGAAGATATGGAACAAGCAGAAAAATACGAAGATAAAGAATCTAGTGCATAATTTTGTTTTTCAGCAGATGGAAACAGTCAAATAATACGGTTCAAATAAAATAATGAAGAAATAATAGCATATTTCATAATCAAAGTTAAAATTTAAGTTCAAAAGTAGAATTAAACTTTCACTATTATTTGCTTGGCTTTCTTTAGTTTTCCAAGGTTGCATGATATTGGAATAAATGATAATTTTACAGCATATCAAATTCTAGAATTTAATGTTATATTTATCTAAAATTCTTCTATTGTTATTAAGTTTTCCAATCCAATCAAATTCTCTTGCTAAATTGCTAAATTACGATATTCAATTATCATTTGTGAAATTATCTTAAATAGAAAGGTAGAAAAGTGAATTCCTCACACATCCTATTTCGCATAAGAACTACAAAAATTAATGTAAATTTAAAATTTTCTACACTGCTTGCTACTGCCTTCAATTTATCATTAATTTCCAATTTGCCTTGTCCTATCTTTCATTTTTTTATGCTTTAATGCAATGTTTTCGTACATGATCTCACTCATTTGCTGTATATATTCTGTCTTATATTTTGCATTTCCGTTATCTTTTTCAATGTTTGGGTTTCCAAAGCTGTGAGGAAAATTTAATTTCTGTTCGAGAAACCACAATTAGTTCAATCAGAAATCTTCCGCTTATTTCTGCTTTCTTAAAATAATAAAAATTTTTTTTCCACGGTGATTAATTTCATAAAAGATGGATATGACAGTTGTGGTCTATTAGTACCAATATAAGAAACATGGAAAACTACTTGCTTGTATTTTTTTTTTTTTTATTATTATTGACGAAAATTTTAGATCTCTGGTTGAGGAATTAATAAACGATTCTATGAACTATCTGTGATTGAGTTTCTGCAACTAATCAGAAAACTTAATTTTGGCTTAATTTAAATTTGCTAAATACTTTGCAAAAATCAAATTAATAAATGGTAAAATGTCTTTTTGCCTTTGTGTATTATCTAAGTACGGATGAAAGGTCAATAATGAAATCTAATCACACAAGTACAGATGAAAATTTTAATTCTAACTGAGATAATTTTTCGTATGATTTTCTAATATAATTTTATACAAATTTAAATGGTAATTGCTAAGTTTTTCTGAGATCTCCTAATATTTCTTGTAAAAATTCGTTATGCAAATAACAAATTTTTAAATATATACGAAACTGGTTTTTAGTATTATTATTCATTTCACGATTGAATGAAATTTTAGCAGCGGTTCGGTGTGATCTAATAATGAAATCTAATCACATTCATTCTTTCTCAACTTTTTTCCTTGCTTCGATAATTTTACCTAAAGCAAACAAATGCTATAATTTAATCTAGCAGATGTCTTATCAATCCACCAACAGAATTTTGCGATAAGCAACGTTGTCAATCATTACCTGTTATCAGTCAATTACTCAAAATTATTGAAACTTAAAAGTTATCAAAATTGGTTATGTAAATTATTTGGATTTTATTCTTGCAACAAATTATTTAACAGTCTAAATTGAAACGATGTCTACCTATTAAAATATTTCTATATAGTTCTAATAAATTTTACCTCAAATATGATATTCTCATAATCAGCTATGATTTCAAGAAATTATTTAACACTTCAACTGATTGCTGTATATACATTTGCTCATATGCTAGTAGAGTTTATACAATTTGAAGAGTTATTAAAATATGAAAAAGTTTGAAATGTTATTTGAATTCTATGGAGAAGAAAAAGAACCATCGTTAGAAACTCGAGAAATTTTTTTGAATCAACTTTTAGAAATTGTATGAAAAACTTTGGATAATAATTTCTCCCTTTAAATACTACCATTTTTATTTTCTGTTTCACATTTAGATTCAAATTTGATGAAAAATCAGGATTCCATCTAGCCAAAGGATATTTTTTTGCGATTTGATTTTACGGTATTTCTTCTGCAGTCATTTAATAAATTTTATTTTACTATTTCTTAATAAATTTTGCCGTTAAATCTTCAAATACTTTTAGATATATTGCAATAAAAAAAAATACCTAAATATTGTATTTACATAAAAAAATTGCCGTTTCTCAAAAAAAAAAAACTAAAAAAATTTCGATTTTTTTTTTTTTTTTTTTTTTCATTCCTATATTGTTTGAATATTTATTTGTATTGATGAAGTGCTTTGAAGAATTTGCAATGAAATGAAGCTTTTTTTTTGAAAAGCACTACAATTTGAAGTTTAGTCAGTAACAGTTTCCAGCTATTAGCCATTTGGTATTTGTTTGTTAATTTGATTCCATTTTATTTTGCATTTTCTTATTTTTAATTCCAATCTCTTTTTTAAAAAAATCTACAATAATTTCTTTTCATTCTTTTATATTATTTTATGACATATCGTTACTAATAACAATATTGTATGTAAATAAAAAATTAAATTTGAAAAGATTACGAAAATATCAAATAGATTTTAATAATGAGAACAAAGAAATATAGCATTTTAGTTTTTTAAATTATAAAAATTAAAAATTTGAAATGTACATATTATGAGCAAAACTTGTGGAGTGTAATGCGAAATAAAATATAAAAATTTATTTGATAATAAATTTTAATGCTTTTGGCAAACATTAAAAAGGTTTCTTTCTTTTTCATTTTCTCCAAACTTGCAAATATTAGTAAACGTGTAAGATAAAAGGAACTGGAGAAGAAATGAAATAATTATTTTCTGATAACAAATGATACCGTTTTCTGCAAACATATTATTAAAGAATAAAAAAATAAAAATTTAGAATTCATAAAGGAGTTTTTATTTTCCTTCTCAGTTTAAATTACAAAACACAGCTATTATTTGCTATTTGAATTAACAGAAATTTTTCTTATCATTATCATTATTTTTAATCATCATGAATTTTTTTTTAAATAACTTCTTTTAGCTTGATTAATCATTTTATCAGACTTTCTTTGCTTTCCATACAATAATCAAATGGAAATTTACTACCATTTCATTCATTATTTTTTTGAATTTCATTTAAAATGATTGACTAGATTTAACAATTTCGCATATTTGCCGCCATTTTGGTAACATTTGCATGAGTTTAAAGTTTTGCTACTTAGTGAGATTTTGTTGATTAATGGAGTGGAGGTGGTGCAAGAAGTAAGCATTTGTCTACTTTTTGATATCATTTATAGAGTTATCAGTGATTCAATTTATTCCTACTATTTTCTTTCCCTTTCTCTCTCTCTCTCCCTCTCTCTCTTGTAATTTTATTCTTTCTTTCCTTTCTTTTTTCTTCTCTCATCTTCTGTTATTTTTGCAAAATGAAGTTATATCAGCACGGCTATTCTTTCCAATCCACTGTTTCCATGAATCATAGCAATACTTGTTATCTCGTACATTTCCTGTTTCTCTTATTATTTCCTCTTTGGTTGTGTTTTCAGCCATTTTGAACTTCTCTCTCTCTTTCTCGCCTTTTCTATCAATCGTCAACAATGTTTTTGAATTATCAGTTGTCCATTGTCCACTAAAAGCAGCTGAAGGAGTGATATAATAGTGAGACATGTAGTGATGTAATTTTCCAGTTGATATTAGCGAGAATATTGTTAGGAGGCGATCAATGCTTAATGATTTAATTGAATCATTTGTCACAAAAAGAAAATTGTTTATCGAAATGACTTTGTAGTGTAATAAGGATTTAGAAAAATTTTATCTAGTTACTGGTTTTTGTTAGCAATGAATAATTAAGGTACTCTTTGTAGTGATATGATGTCATGTTAAATATTTTGAAATCAAATAATTTTCTGATAATCTTATTATTCTTATTAAAAAAGAGAATATGGAGGATTTGTCATACAAATTCAGTTTTAGGAATGAGTATTTTTCCTCGTCGTTTCTGAAAATTTCCGAATATTCTAGCTTTTAGATTTTCTGGCATATCAAATTATCAGCGAGCCATTTGCAGATTGTACAACAACGACAAATGAGTAGCGACACGAAATATTTTGTTCGTTTACGGATCGGGCATAAGTAAGTTTATGAAAAACTAAAAATGCTAGAAAAATGATTTTTTGATAAAATTAAGTTTAAAAAAAAAAAAAAAAAAAGAAAAGAAATCGTAGTGTTAACGTAAATATTGTTTTAATGGTTAGGTAATAAATACTGAAAAATTGTAGCTGTTCCTTTAAAACTTAATTTTATCAAAAACTTCAGCGAACTCTTTAAGACGATAATGAAGTTGTCTTTAATATAAATTTTTTTTTATTTGCAAAAAGACTGTTTCGCTGTATATTAATTAAAGAATTCTCTAGTGAGCTACTGAGTGATTATCGGTTAAAAAGGTTGAGTCAGATGTTTGTGTTTCATCTATAAAAGTTGAAAACATATGCAGTAGAAATTCCTCTCGGTATTATTTCCGCTTTTTTATGCAATTGTCGTCATCGGCTCAACACTACTAAATACTGTTTTGAAGGATGAATTTAAATGATTGAGACAGTTGATCACCATTCAATTTAACATCCTTTTGATTCACTGTTTGAGAATGCTTCCTAATTTCTTCCTTAAAAATACATTCAGATCCGAAATGCTCGATCGTCCAACATCGACTGGCATGACTCATAGGTGGACAGTATTTGTACACTCCTTCAGCGGGATGCCATTTACGGATCGCAGTTTTATTTCAAAGGTTGATTTTTGCCGCTGCACAAAAGTTTTTTGCATATATTACGTTGTACTGGCGAAATCGTAGTAATATTTTTGAAAAAAAAAAAAAAAAAAATACAAATAAAGAAGTTTACACTACGAGTTTACATTTTAAGTTGGAAAGAAAAGATTTATATTGAAGAACTGTTGAAAAATTCTTAATGTGCAAAAGTTTCTGAAACTTTTATGGAAGATTAGATTTGTTAAAAAAAATTCGCAAGTCGCGGATTCTATTAGCTGGAGATATGTAGTTGGAAACGAAATTCAAAATTAGTAGTTTTTTGATACTTCAATGAAGCTTTACAATTAGTCATCATTTATAGGTTGTGTTTGAATTGCATCCCGATTTTTCGTCTCCACGACGAGTTGTAAAAGAACCTCCTTTTGAAGTAAGCGAATTGGGTTATGGTGGATTTTCGATTCCAATTCATATCACTTTCACAGGCGCAAGCAAAGTCTACAAATTAACATATGATATGAATCTTGTATTAGGTATGTATGTTTTTTATTTTTAGTTTTCTAGAAAAATTAAAGTTTTAGATAAAAAATGCACTTTTACAGAAAAGTATAATGAACAGTTTATTACTCAAACCATCGAAATGAAGCAACCGTCATCATCGTTTCGGGAATTGATTTTAAAATATGGCGGGGCTAAGAAGGATTCTGATAAGCGCAAAGAAAAACATCGATTACGGAAAGGAACAATAAGTTCGTCAGAGGAACCGGCTCCGAAAAGGGAAAAAGAAAAAGAGAAAAGCCGTTCTGGAAGCAATCCTCCTTTAAGTAAATTAAAAATCCCACGCGCTCTTGTTGATGGCGAAAAAAAACGAAAGAACACGAGAGTAAGTATTTTAATTTATTGTTGTAAGAATCCGATCCAAACAATCATTGTATTGTCCCTTTTTTTTTAATAAAGTTGTGGAAGATTATATTTTCGTAATCTAAACAATTGATCTCTTATTTTTAGAACAATTTAAAATTAATGATTACAGGGTATTTTCTTCGATTTTGAAATACATATGTCAATCCTAACAAACTGTCATATGAGATCGTTATTCTTTTAGTCTGCTTCATCTGAAAACATCGCAAATATTCCTAAATCAGTAATTCTCGCTGAAACCAAATTGTCATCAAATACTGAAACAAAAGCGGCTTTCTTACCAGGAATGAAACAAACAGAGATGATAAATTCAGAACCGTCAACATCAGCTGAATCAAATTGTTCGGATTCGGAAACTTCGAAAGTCACAACGTGCGGTGCGGAAAGCACCGTTTCGCTGACTCCAACACTTGAAAGCGACTGCATGGTATTTCTTTTATATATAAAAATTTATTGTGAAGATAAATTACAACTGATGTGCCAGAGGTTTTCGTTTTATATGCAGTTTTGTGATGGTAAAATTGTTGATGTGTTTCGTTATGGGCGGATTGACAATTTTTAAAAAATAGTTCGATAATTCAAGTTGAACTGTTAAATTATTTTCTTAATAATTTAATGGTGACAAAGATATTTAAAAAACAGTTCTCTTTCAAAATCAATTTTTGCTAATTACTATCATTGGCTTTTTGAGTTTTATATCTTGTGAAGCTTTTTTGGGCCGCTGCGAAATGTAGGAAATACATAAGGTAATAAAAATTAAAGTCTAGGTATGTTGTGGAATTAAACAAGAAATTTTCTTGATCGAAACAGAAAATATTTCACCTCTTGCTTGGTAGGTCTAACAAAGGAGAGATTGCTCTCTGTATTGCATGTTTAAGCAACACCACATAGCTTATTAGAATAGTTGCAATAATTTAGCTTTGCATCTTTTTCTTCTTAGTTCGGTTGATCATCTTAACTTCATCCCTTCTATAGCTTTTTATTTTATTTTAGCTTTTTTTTCTTTTTATTTCATTTTAATAAATGAAGCTTTTTAGTTTAATGGTGTTTCTTAGCCATTAATAAATTGCACTCATGAGGAGAAAGCTACGAATGAAAATTTCCGGTGATTGTTCAATCAATTGCTAAAGTCGAAAATTTGATATTTTTAGATCGAGAAACAGTATAGTTTTGAATTTTTGGTTCGACTGCAGAAAAAGTTGATGACATTGAAAGATCCAGATAAAATGCTAGCAGTTGTAAATACTTTGCTAACGCCCACATCATCTAATCCCAGTTTACCATCGGATTTGTTATTTACTGATAATAATCTCTTGTCATTTGATATCTGCAAGTTAAATTCATCACTTATAGGTAAATTAGGTGAGATTTGTTTTGGAAATACCCCCTAAATATATGATATATGATTTAGTCGAGTATTTGAATCAATTTAAGGTTAGATTTGTAGTTGAAATCAAAAAGGTTTTTTTTAATTTTCTTTTTTTTTTTTTTTTTTTTTTTTTCTTTTTTTTTTTGGCAAGATTTTATTGCATGACCTGTTTAACGCAGTTCTTTTGAGTGATTCATATTTTTCTTGCAGTTATATGTAATTTTATTATAATTTTTATATAGTCGTCTTTTGGTAGCATTTTTTTCTTCTGTTTTTCATTACTTTTTATTTCCAAATGTATCACCTTTAATACTTTTTGTCTTTTTTAATAATCGTTTGTACAATGTTTTACTCAGTTAAGTAATAGTTTGTTATTATTTAATGTATCCTTACATTTCCATTAATTATCATATCATTCTGGCCTTTCTTTCTTTCTTTCTTTCTTTCTGTCTTAATGCATATTCTTTCTCCTAATTCTGGTTTTAATTTTAGTATTCTAGCACGGTTAACACATACCGTCGATTATTATTTTAGACTAAATAATGGTTGGATAATTTTATTGATCTTAAAATTCTCCATTCCGAATATGTTTGTATGGTTTATGATAGTTCTTAGTTATTAATTATTCGTGGTTAAACTATTAAAACTGTTTAAACATTAAGTTTACCGTTGATATCTTACAAATATAAACCGAACATACCGAGCACTATTCCTTGAATCCATATCGATGGACCTCTTTCAAGTAACATTTATGTTTTGCTTTGATTGTTTTTAAGGAAGAAATGTTACTTTTTTAGCTTATTGCAGATTAATATTTCATTCTGTCGTGATTTACATTGAGCTTTTTTTTTTTTTTTTTTTTGAAACAATTGGCGAGAAACTTTTTGTTTTAGTAATAATTTAGCAGTGATGTGAGAATTTAACTTTTGAATTTTTAAATTCGTTCGTTGCCGCAGTTTTCAGCAAATAAAAAAGAAGAAAAAAACATAGGTACTTCTATTGCATTTGTAAGATATTTACCGTTGCCATATTTTCATGACATTTCTGTTGTATGTACATAATGTATACTGTTAATGATCAAACAGGATGGTATTTTTTACATGTATCGATGATTTTGTTTGTGTCTTTTATTAATTGCTTTTTATAAGCATCTTTCAAAGATATGTAGTTTTTTCTTTTTTCATATGTAGTTTTTTTTTTTTTTTTTTTTTTTTTTTTTTTTTTTTTGCACAAAACAAGATTTAATGCCTAAGTGAAATTTTATTTTTTTTTTATTTTTTTGAAATTTATTTACATTAAAAGTCCTTTATTAAGTAATAGCAGTTAATGTGATGGAAAATGATGTGTTAAGAAAGAGTGAAATAAGATAAGTAATGCAAAATTAAAATTATTGAAAATAATCTATTTTTGGATTTCATTCTGTGAAATTTATATTTCTAGAAAATGAATTGGTTATTTGCCTGATTAATTTAGATGAAATCTGCAAATTTTCTAGATTTAAAACAATCCACACATCTAAACAACTGATTGGTCTACTTAAGTAGAAAAATTAAATGGCTGCTGGTGAGATAGAATAAATGTATTGGCTGATTTTGTTGTCACTGCGATTGTTTCCATCTACTTAAAGCCTTGTCCTGTTTGTTGATTCAGGCTATTATTTGAAATGCATTAGATTTCGTATACTTCAGTACTACACGTCACTCTTTATCAATTTTCTATCAGTGATATCAAAATCAATGTGATTCGTTTTATTGTACTTTATTTTCCATTTGCATGCCCTCAATGTGATATTAAATTGAACGGTGATAAATGTTTTCTCTTTTTTTGGAATTAATGCATATTAAATAGTAAATTTGAACATCATCTGGATGAAATTATGATTTGAAAAAGGAAAGAAAAGTTGAGATAGCTAAATTATTGTAGTAAATATTGTCTTATTCATTATAGTTTCAAAATTTTTATTTTACTTTCGATATTTCGAGATAAGGAAGGGAAGTGAGAGAGACCAGATTAATCAGAATAAGCGAATCCTTATAATTTATCATAATATTCAAGTATTATGTATATGTCAGAGTAAACGCAAATAAAGGCCCAGACATTTATGATCTAAAGGGCCAGACAATGCAAATAGGCCACATATAACTAGGACAATTCTGCTGAAACCGGAACAAGATTTACTTGGCCATATTCCACTTCAAATAGTAATGTATACTTTTTTTTACTCTCTCTATCTTTTATTGATTATGCTTTTATGTCATTATTTTTAATATATGGGTTTTAAGAATAAATAAATGCTAAGAGCAAGTCTGTAAGTTAAAACTTGTCTCCTCTACTTTTCCGCTTTATAAGTGAAATATTGAGATAATGGCCTAGAAATCAGTTATACTTTACAAACTAGGAGATTTATTGATTAGTTTAAATTAAAATTTACATTATAAAACATTTTTTATACTATAAATTTTATGCTTAAAGGGATTTCTTTGCTAAATTTATTTTAATTTAACTACTTTTAATGAGTTGCATCGATGTTTTATTGAATAATTCTATTAATATCATTCATCTCACAATAGGAAATTATTTCATTTTGAATAATTAAAAATTTTTAATATTTCATTCACCATTAATTAGTGGACTGCATCATTTGCTTGTTCAAGACAGTTTTATTCTATATTAAATTATATCAATTATTTCATTTATTATTATCATTATCACTATTATTATTATTATTAATATTATTAATGATGGCTATTATTATTAAAGTTGATCGCATACTTTTATGAAGTTGATTTAATTAAAATATATGTTATAAAATTATTGTAAACGTTGCTCATTTTGTCATAGGAATAATAATTTGCCTTAATATTTTATCACTTATTTCATTTAATTTGTTTACTCTATTAATCATAACTTTATTCAACTATAAATTACTTCTGTTTCCTTTCTTCTACTATAGCTTTTGCTTAGTATTATTGTTGCATTTCCTGTTTTTCCCAAATACCTTACGACAAATTATCTGTTATATATTTGCTTAATAATCTTTGTATCATCGATAATTTTCTTCATTTCGTGCTATTCTGCTAATTCGTAACTGTTATTGGATTGATTAAGAAAAATCGACTTTAAATAATTAGAAGTAATTTTTAAGACAGTTTTATTCTATATTAAAAATTTTTTATAAAAGAACATTTTTGAAAAAAGAATCACTTTTTTTTAAAGAGTTTATGATTATCTTGTATTCATAAAGTATAGTTTATTATTAATGAAAAGTATGAAATGTTTATAAGATTTTATTTAAAAAAAAAAAGATGAATTACAAATTTGTAGCATTTTACGTAACAAAATATATTAATAAAAAAAAAATAATTAATTAGTAATTGCTAAAGAAAAATTGATTGCTATTTCAGTTACAAATTTATATATCTTAAATTTTTCAGGAACAAAAAAAAATATTCTGGCTTCATTTCATACTTATCTTCTACAAATTTTCTATATTTCAATGGCAATGCCAAATGATGATATCATTTCATCGCATCTTCATGGTGGTATTTTAGCTTCAGCATTAGCTGATTTACAAAAATATGATAATTATAATGAGAAGATTGGTGGCAATTCAATTCCTGAATTTCGATCAAAATCATTCTTAATTAATGCTACAACTAATCCAACAAAAGAAGTAATCATAACACCACAACTTACATCTGTTTATAATTCACCTTTATCAACTTATCGTGGTATAATTGGTACAGCATTACGAAATGAAATTTCAACTACCACTGAAAACGGTTATATTCCATCACAATACGAACAACAATCATTTCCACTCACAAAAAGGCTACCTATTTCATTAAATGATCCTAAATCAATGACAAATTCATTTGATCATACATTAAGTACCACTAATGACGGTTCAACTTTACAATCAGCACGGATCATCGGACAACAAAAAGGAAATAAACGTGGAATGATTAGTAAATGGTTACAAGATATAACTGAATCAACACCTGATTTAAGTAGCAGAAAAGAAATTGCTGATGTACTGATTAGTCCACGTACTGGAATATTAGGATTATTGTTGAAGAAGAAGAAAGGGAAATTTCGTGATACACAGACTTGTAAGTCATCAAATAGTCTTTCATCTAGTTTGGACCCAACAGTTAGTGAAACAAATTCATTTACTAAAGAATCTCGAATATCACAAAAAAATCAATCGTTGTTAAGTTTGAAAAGACATGAACGAAGTCATGATAAGCATTTATCATTGGAAGATCTTGATTGCCCATCTGTTCTTCCATCACCTGGATCAACACAAAGTAGATTATCGAGAAGAGATGAATCGAGAAAAAATCAAAAAGCAAATTATAAGAAATGGTCAATTCAGCAGAGCACATCAAAAGAATCAAAAAGTTCGAGCACTTCTACAAAATTATTAATTGATGAAGATGAATATAGCAAAAATTTACCATCTAAGGTATGTTCAATGTTAAAAGTTATCATAAATTTTCAATTCTTTTTTCAGTCTCATTATTAATATTTGATTAGAGTTAGAAATCTTTCAAATTAATTCCATAAATATTACTCAATTAATTAGCTAATTTTATCCTAAATAATTTTTGAACTTTTAGCTTTTGTTGCACGCAATGAAATGTGAATGGTCAATTGTGGAACAAATTTTAAATAATGAAGAAAATATTGATCTTACAGTCACAGATCCAGTAAGTTTAACTTTGTACAATTAGCGCCCAAAGTATAAAATATGACATAAAAAGAATCCAGGCTCTCACTCAACTTTTAATAATAACAATGGAGAATTTAAATTTACAAATTAAAGATTGCTCAATTTGTTATCACAGATTTAAAATTAATCATTCATTCTTTTAAACTATTAATTATTTGTTGAACAAAATTATGAAAATTATTTTTTTGTAAAGAATAAAAGGTATGAAATTTAATTGAAATATTTCCATCAAAAAATAGTTTAATTTTTTCCATCAAAAATATTACAAATTGTTGTAATTATAATATTACCTTTTATTTTTTAATTTTTTAATTTAATTTAATTTTTTTCTCAAAAATTTATTCCGAGGGAAGCATTTTTCTCCAGGAAGTTTTCACTTAGTTTATTTTATTGACTGCGTTATTGTTCCACTTTTTGAAATAGAAATTGTTGTCGAATAAAAATATTTACCTATTTCTAGTTTCTGCAAAATTTCACTATTAATTATTGAAATGTACAATTACTATCAAAAAGATAACAAAACAAATTGATAATAATAGAAATGGTAGCAAATCAATTAGAAATAAATTTAAATTGTTGAAATTTTTTGAAATCTCTGATATTTTAGAAAATTAAAAATTACATTTATAATAACATTATTTTTCAAAAAAAAAAAAAAAATTACTCTACATAAATTTTTCAACAACCTGAAAGGAGATGATTAAAATATTTCTGGAAAATAATAAATATTTGTAAAAATATACTCTAAAATTTATTTGCTCATTTATTATTTATAATATAAATGTAAAATTTATACCATCATTTCAGCTTGGTTTTACAGTTTTATTTTACGCAGTTAAAAGTTGTAATGCATCAATTTTCAATAAATTACTCAATCGTGGAGCACTTCTTGAGACAATAACAAAAGTTTGTAATTAAATAAAAATTCATGAAATTTGAAAAAAAAAATTGAAGTAACTTAAAAGGAATACTTGTTGCGAAGAAAGGAGTATTTAGTGAAAGTGTTAAATAAAATTAAATTGGAATATTTCAAAATTTACTCGTCTATTTCATTCATTTGTTTACTTACTTAATTAGATGCTTTTAAACTTTCATATGTATTCAAATTTTTATTCACTTAGATTGATACTTTTGAACTTTCGTATGTTCTTAATTTCTTTACTTACTTAAATTGTTACTTTCATATTCGTCATTTTACTTTTATTAATCATTAAAATATTACCAATCAAATTTTTTATTTGAGGATGGGCGAACGATTGCACATATTGCAGCAATGTATGGAAATGAGGGGATAATACGGCAGCTATTGAACTGTAAAATTGATTTCAAATTAGGTGATAAAGTAAGTTAATCTATTAATGAAATTTATTTAACAATTTATGATAATGTTAATTGCATCACGCAATACATTACTTCCATCTATTGCAGACATTCAATCAAACGCCACTGCATTTAGCATGCAAGCGTACGTCAAAACGTGGCTTTCGTGTGACGCAATTATTGTTAAAATATTGGGAAGATGGTCGTCTTGTTGAAGACTTGCAAAAATGTTTACCAATACATTACGCAGTAAAATGTGGTAATTTGGAGACAGTTAAATTACTATTAGAAGTAAATGAAAGTAATCAATTAAAGCATGTAAGATTTTTTTTTTCGCGTATTTTTCAAAATTGTTTTGAATTTTTACAAAATTTTAAAAATTAACTTATAATTTTTTTAAAATGTCACAAACAATGAAATTTTTCACAGTAATATTTATTGAATAAAATATGAAATATTTTAAATTTTAGAAAAAAATTTTTTGCATTTAATGATAGTTTATTACAGATTGATAGAAATGGCGATTCGCTATTGCATCTTGCATGTCGTTCAGGTGACAATGATATGTTGCAATTTCTTTCCAGTTATAATCAAATTGATGTGAATATTGCAAATTCAAACGGTTGGACAGTACTTCACGAAGTTGCATTGAAAGGAAGTGTACCTTCATTAAGGATTTTACATAAATTAGGAGCTAATGCAAATATTTTCGATAAGGTTTGGATTTATTAAATTTGTTAAATGTGCTAAAATTTCTTGTTAAAAATGAAAATGAATGACTCTTTTTTTTTTATACTTCTTAATATGCTAAATAGATAAGATGTAAGCAACTGAAATCTTATTTTATTGAATGGTAAATCGTTATTGCATAAAATTGTGCTTGAATTTTTGAAATTGAAGAAGTCAAGAATTTGTGATATTTTTAAACTTCCAAAAATTTTAACTTTTTCAAAGAAAAAAAAGTGAAAATTATTTTTTCTGTTTCCGAACTTTCTTTAAATTTTCGTTGAAATTAAAAAAAAAGTTTCGTTTATTTGCCATTATTCTTTATTTTTAGGAAGATCGAACGCCGTTGCATATTGCAGCAGCTGCTGGACGTACGAATATTGCTCAGTTATTGATTGAAAAGTTTGGTGGATCAGTACGTGCTCGTACACGTGATGGCAGTACGTTGTTGCATGTTGCCGCCTTAAGTGGACACGCTTCAACTGCATTAACATTCCTAAAACATGGTGTACCTCTTTGTATGCCAAATAGACGAGGTATAAACAATTATAATTTATATTAATTAGTATTTTTTTAGAATATCAAATTAATTCGTAGTAATTTCAAATAAAATATATTTCGTACAGTGTAACACAAATTCATTAAATATTGAATTAAAATATATTATTAATTTTTTTAGGAAATGAATTAATCAATAATAATCTTTTTTTAATTTTTAATATATCATTGTAAAAGCTATTTAATACTGTTACATTTTGAACACCCAAAAGAAAATTCATATAATTAATTCTTTCAGGTGCTTTGGGTTTGCATTCTGCAGCAGCTGCTGGTTTTACCGATGTTGTTCAGTTGTTAATTGCTCGAGGAACAAATGTTGATATTAAAACTAGAGTAATATCTTACTTATTAACAAATTTTCTCTTTAACTTTAAAATTGTGTTGAAAAAAAAGTGTTAAAAAAAATTTCTAGCATTTAATTTTATCTTCGTTGGTATATTTGCAAAATTTAATCTAGCAATTATGACTATTAGAATAATGCTCATTAAAAAATTTTTTAAAACAAAAATAAGCCATCATTTTATAAAGAAATATAAAATTAGATCTGAAAAATTAGCTCAATAATTTATTTAGTGTTAATTAATTCAAATAATATAGAAATTTAATTAACTAACGGACATTTAATTACAGGATAATTATACAGCATTACACGTTGCAGTGCAGGCTGGTAAAGCATCTGTTGTAGAAACATTACTAGGATATGGCGCAGATGTACATGTTCATGGTGGCGCAATTGGTGAAACAGCTTTGCATATTGCTGCATCATTAACTACAGATGATGCAATCGAATGTGCGGTAATGTTATTAAAAAGTGGTGCGCAAACAAACGTTACACGTAATGACGGTGAAACGCCATTACATATTGCGGCACGAAATCCACTAAGCGGAATGATACGTTTACTATTAAGTGAAGGCGCTGATCCAAAAATTTGTTCTAACGTTAGCAAAATTAAGCTTTAATTTTTCTTCATTTATAATTGCATAATAATCACAATAGTAATAACAATAATAACAGTAATTATAATAATCGTAATAGTAAACAATAATAAATAATAATAACAACAATAATAGTAATATAACAATGATAATAATTGTAAAATATACAATATTAATGAATAATAATAATACTGAACAAAATGAATTCTTAGAAGTTTTCTCTAATTTATAAAGGATAAAATTTGAAATTGAATAATTTTAAGCGAATAATTTTTTTTAAGATGATAAAAATGTTAAATAATTTTAAAGATGTGAAGAATGAATTTAAAAAAATAGTAATGAAGAATTTTCATGAGTTACACTATTTGCTTTAGTAAATTTCTAATTAATTAATTATTTCTACAATTACAGAGCAGTGAAAGTGTTTTGCATGTGGCAGCAAAGAGTTGTAATAGTGAAGCAGTAACACTTATCCTAGAATACCTTTCTCAACAAATGTCACCTGAAGAAATTAAGGAATTTATCAATGCTCGAACTATTGAGGTTATAAATTTGCCATTCTTCAAGTATTATTCTAAATTTAATTATTGTCTACTGCTTTAAATTTTTTTTTTTTTTAACTATTTTCTCGAAAAAGCGAAAAAAAATTATTGTTTTAGGATGGTTTAACAGCAGTACATTATGCAGCTCAGATTACTTCGGATCAATTACATTTTCCTGGTGAAGATGCAAAATTGATTGAAACACTTATCGACTACAATGGTCAACCAGAGCTTCAAACATATAAGGCAAATTTTTAAAATTTTAACTCGATTTTAAAAGTGAAAATTTTTGAATGTTTCGAAGCTTTTATAATTATTGTTTTCTATTACTTTCTCAAAAAGTTTTTTTTTGAAAATAAATTGCCGAAATTTTTAACTTTCTTAAGTAATAAACTACTCTTAAATTTAGAAGCATAAAAAATCTAAATTTTAAAAAACTTAAATAAAATTTTATTGGACAGTTTGCTGTAGGTAAAACATTAACAATTAAAATTTAGCTTTTATGGCTATTTAGGAGCAAGAAACAGCGATGCATTTGGCTGCACGATCAGGTAATGAAGCTGCTTTGCTTGCTATTGTTGATAAAATTGGCGCTGGAGCGGTGCAAATTGTTCAAAATAAACAATCTAAGGTAAATATATCCTTCATATCTTACTTTTCCGTTTAATAAATTAATATTTTTATAAATTATTGAAGTAATTTATTTATTCTCACTAGCTATTTGCACACCATTATATTTTCACAATTTTTCTACAATCAATTCTTTGTATTAAAAAATATTTAAATCATAAAGTAACAATGATTCATTCTCTCATTTCTAAAGAATGGCTGGTCACCGCTAATGGAGGCATGCGCTCTCGGACATTTCAGTGTTGCGCAAATTCTCCTAGATCATCATGCTCGAGTTGATGTTTTCGACGAGAATGGTCGAACAGCATTACATTTAGCTGCTGCTAATGGTCATTTGAAGTTAACACAGCTATTACTGACCAGTAAAGCATTTGTTAACAGGTTCAGTCGTATCAAATAGATTTACTTTCTTTTTCGTTTTTTTTTCAAATGACAGTAAAATGATAAAATATTATCAATTGTCATTAATTAAATGATTATTGATAGTAATTCGTATTAATATTGTCAAAAAATAACAATAAAGAATAGCAAAAACAAAGGAATTAAGATTCAAATGTAAATAATTTAAATTAAAGTCATAAAAGGTAAATGTTATGCTAAGTAAATGAAATATTACATGAACAGTTTAATAATTCTTGTAGGAGAAAAACTTATTATTATTATTTATTACTATTGCTATTACTATTGTTATCGTTATTATTATTATTATTATTATTACTAATTATTATTATTATTATTACTAATTATTATTATTATTACTTATTATTATTATTATTACTTATTATTATTATTATTGCTAATTATTATTATTATTACTAATTATTATTATTATTACTAATTATTATTATTATTATTATTACTAATTATTATTATTATTATTATTACTAATTATTATTATTATTATTACTAATTATTATTATTATTATTATTATTACTAATTATTATTATTATTACTAATTATTATTATTATTATTACTAATTATTATTATTATTATTACTAATTATTATTATTATTGTTACTAATTATTATTATTATTATTACTAATTATTATTATTATTATTACTAATTATTATTATTATTATTATTACTAATTATTATTATTATTACTACTAATTATTATTATTATTATTAATTATTATTATTACTAATTATTATTATTATTATTACTAATTATTATTATTATTACTACTAATTATTATTATTATTATTACTAATTATTATTATTATTATTACTAATTATTATTATTATTATTACTAATTATTATTATTATTACTAATTATTATTATTATTACTACTAATTATTATTATTATTATTATTAATTATTATTATTATTATTACTAATTATTATTATTATTATTATTATTATTACTAATTATTATTATTACTACTACTAATTATTATTATTATTATTATTACTAATTATTATTATTATTACTAATTATTATTATTATTATTATTACTAATTATTATTATTATTACTAATTATTATTATTATTATTACTAATTATTATTATTATTACTAATTATTATTATTATTATTACTAATTATTATTATTATTATTATTATTATTATTATTATTATTATTACTAATTATTATTATTATTATTACTAATTATTATTATTATTATTACTAATTATTATTATTATTACTAATTATTATTATTATTATTATTATTATATTATTATTATTATTATTATTATTATTATTATTATTATTATTATTATTACTAATTATTATTATTATTACTAATTATTATTATTATTACTAATTATTATTATTATTATTACTAATTATTATTATTATTATTATTATTAATTATATCACTCTATTATAGTAAATCAAAAACTGGTGAAGCGCCATTACATCTAGCAGCACAGAATGGTCACGTTAAAGTGGTCAGTGTCCTGGTGGAACATCACGGCGCCTTATTGGAAGCAATAACATTGGACAATCAGACAGCATTGCATTTCGCGGCACGCTATGGACAATTAACTGTTGCGCAAACATTACTTGCACTTGGCGCAAATCCAAATGCACGAGATGATAAAGGACAAACACCGCTTCATCTAGCAGCTGAAGTATATCAAATTAATTTTAATAAAAGATCGATTTTCCTTTTTCAAAAAATATAATGTTTGAATAGTATTCTTCAATTTCTTTTTTTTTTTTTTTTTTTCTTTCAGAATGATTATCCAGATGTAGTGAAATTATTTTTAAAAATGCGACAAAATAATCGAGCAGTATTGACAGCAATTGATTTAAATGGTTTCACATGTGCGCATATAGCTGCAGTGAAAGGATCATATGCAGTTGTTAAAGAATTAATGATGATTGATAAAGCTATGGTTATTCAAGTAAATGTCTTCTATTCTCATTTATGCTAAACTAAGATATTGAGAATTACTAATAAAAAGAAAAAGGAAAAAACGAAGTAAAATTTCTTATTGTTTTATGTTGACGGAGAAAAGTTAATTAAAGAAGATAGCATTAATTAATTAAAATTTAAAAGTTAATATTAACTATTAACTTGTAAATGTATACATTTCAAATTTTTTCTTTTTTTTAAATAAATGATAAGAATGAAATTTCTTCTTTTGGTCAAATTAATATTAAATTAAAGGCAAAGACAAAAACAATGGAAGCAACAGCATTGCATATGGCAGCAGCTGGTGGACATAGTAGAATTGTTAAAATTTTACTTGAACATGGTGCTAATGCTGAAGATGAAAATGCTGTTAGTTGTGTGTTTCATAAAATTTTGTTTTGTTATTCTCTCATTATTATATTATTAAATTAAATTTTATTAAAAACACAATTAATATTCTATTCCTATCACTAAAATATATCAATAATATCATTCATATCATTTTTAAAAAATTCATTGCTTCCAATTTTTTAATTAATTTAAATCATTTAGCATGGTATGACTGCGCTTCATTTGGGTGCTAAAAATGGATTTGTTCCAATTCTTAATGTTTTTGATGAATCACTGTGGAAGAAATGTTCAAAAAAGGTTTTGCTAATATTATTAATGAAGCATTTCTCTAGTGAAAGAGTTTAGTTTATTCTTTAAGCTATTTATCTGTAAACATTAAAATTTATTTTAATTCATATATTTTAGTAATTTTTATAAATTTAGACCGGTCTGAATGCACTTCATATAGCTGCATTTTATGGCAATTCAGATTTTGTAATGGAAATGTTAAAACGTGTGCCAGCAAATTTACGATCTGAACCACCAATTTATAATCATTATGTTGTGAAGGAATTTGCAACTGAAGTAAGAGGAAGTAATATTATTTAACCTTTCTAATCTTTAGCTATTATCTTTTATTTCAACTTTTATGTTATCATACTCTAAAATAATTTTGTTTTCCAAAAAAAAAAAAAAAAAACTTAAATTAATTATGTTTTTTTTTTCCACTTTTTTAAACTTTTTTTAAAAATCTATTTTATAGCAAATTTAATATATAAAATGGAAAAGAATTATATATTGATTCTCAAACTTTTTTACCATTTAATATTTAATTTATTTAATAGAATTTGTTGAAAAATTATTAATTAATTTAGAAGTATAATATATTTTTAAAATTTTATAAAAGAATGTTATTACTGCAATGAAAAAAAAATTTTTTTTTTGTAGTATGGATTTACTCCATTACATTTGGCAGCTCAATCAGGACATGATTCATTGGTACGGATGTTATTAAATCAAGGAGTTCAGGTGGATGCAACTTCAACTACTATGGTTTGTTAACTTATTAAACAATTAATTTATCGTTTTATATGGATATATTTAATTTTTGTAATTATTCAATATGAAAAATTTAAATATCAAATATTTAATCATTAATATGTTTGATTTTTTTCAGTTATTTATTTATTTTTTGCTAAGAAATTGTTTATTTTATTTCTTTCTCATAAAAAATGTACATATTTACTCTTACTTTAGAGTGTTATACCACTTCATCTGGCAGCTCAACAAGGTCATATCGCAGTAGTCGGCATGCTTTTATCACGATCAACTCAACAACAACACGCAAAAGACTGGCGTGGACGTACGTCATTACATTTAGCTGCAATGAATGGACATTATGAAATGGTCTCATTACTTATTGCTCAAGGATCAAATATCAATGTCATGGATCAGGTTCATTTTAAATTTATTGGATTATTCAGTTTGAATGAATTGAAACTTTTTTTTATTATTCCAAATTTATTAGTTTTATATTTTGAAATTTTAGGCTTAATTTTTGTTTTCTTTTTTCTTTTCCTTTGTTGCTGAGTTTCTGAATAACTAAAATACAAATAATATATGAATAAGTTGATTCAAACTTGTATAACTTTTTTCTTTTTTTTTTTTTTTTTTTGTTTATTAGGCTTTAATACTTAAGTAATAGTCATTTCAAAGTTAATTTTTTAACAAACGTTCAAAGTATTAGTAACAAAAAAAATTTAATGTTTCGAGAATGGATGGACCGGGATGCATTATGCTACTCAAGCAGGTCATTTGAATGTTATCAAATTGTTTGTAAAGAGTTCAGCTGATGCACAAGCAGAAACAAAAGAAGGAAAAGTAAGATTGCATAATTTTTCAATGTTAAATTTTAATTTTTAAAATTTGAAATATCGTACTGATAAGATATGATAATAGAATGTAATATGATTTAGGTACCATTGTGTTTTGCTGCTGCACACAATCATGTTGATTGTTTACGTTATCTATTAAAACAAAATCATGATACACATGCATTAATGGATGATCGAAAGGTAATTTATCACTTATCATATATCAATAACATAGTAATATTAATTTCTTTTTCTTCGAGTAAAGATTTTTTATAAAGTTATCAAATTAATTCTTTATAAATTGAACTGAATGATTAATTTTATAGTTTATTTTTGATCTAATGGTTTGTGGTAAAGCGAATGATAATGAGCCATTAAAAGAATTCATTTTGCAAAGTCCAGCACCAATTGATACTGCTGTTAAGCTATCAGCTTTATATCATGAAATGAGTGAAAAAGAAAAAGTAAAATCTTTCCTTTAATTCATCAATTTTTTTTTTTTTTAATTTTCATTAAAAAAATTTAATAAATTATAAAATAATTCTGTTTTTTTTAATTTTTTTTTTTTTTGTTTTTATAAAAAGTTTCAATTAGCAATAATATTTCACTGTTGCTATAATATGTGATCAATGTTGATTTGTGATAACAATTAAGTATAATACCACATTAAAAAAAGATATGATAAAAGATGATAGTGATAATGAGGGAAATGATAATATTAATGAATGATAACGATGACAGTGACAACTAATTGTCAAGGAATTGATCACAGTAATTGTTAAACTAAAATTATGGTTCAGGTTTTTATGTATGATATGAAATCTCTACAACTATTTCATAATTAATAATAATCTACTGCTCATTTTTATTTATTTATATTTAAGAACTAAATATGGTAAAGTTACAAAATAATAGTTTGAAATATTTGGCAGATGATATATCTAATCTGATTAATCTTAATAATAATTAGTTGTTTATGAATAAAGTTAGTCAATTTAATGAAATTATCATTTTTTTTCTTTTTTTTACAAAGGAACGAGCAAAAGATTTATTAAATGTTTCGCAATTCGCTGAAGATATGGCTGTTGAATTGTTAGGTATAACAGCAAGTGAATATAATCCAGCATTATTATTGAAAGCTAAAGATAATCGTGGACGACCACTTTTAGATGTATTAATCGAAAATGAACAGGTAAATATATATTTGAAGATGAAAAGGTAGGCTGAAATTATACAAACCAATTTTAGAAGTTATAATATTTGTTTTATTGCTGAACTTTGCTTTCTTTTTTTTTTCTATTCGTTTTTAGAAAGAAGTAGTATCATATGCATCAGTACAACGTTATCTTACGGAAATTTGGACCGGACGTGTGGAATGGTCATTTGGTAAAACGGTTGCATTTACATTAATGGTACTTATTTGTCCACCAGCTTGGTTTTATTTTTCATTACCGCTTGATACACGTATTGGACGTGCTCCTATTATCAAATTTGTTTGTCATATTGGTATATTAAATTTAATTTTAATTATTAACAAATTAAAGCTATTTCTAATTTGAATTTTATAAAAAATATTTTTTTCATTTTTCGTCTTATACATTTTTATTTACACTTTTTTTTTTTTTTTAATATTAGATAAATTATAACAGGCGTATTTGTTTCTTTTAATCAAGATTAATCAATTTTATCACTTTACTCAATTAATCATTTAATCAACTTTTTTAAACTTACTTTCTAAAATTATTTTAGTGTCACATATCTATTTTACAATTCTACTTACAATTGTTGTTCTTAATTTGACACACAAAATTTACGAAGTAAAAAGTATTATACCGAATCCAGTTGAATGGTTATTGCTTCTTTGGCTTTCCGGTAATCTTGTTTCCGAACTATCGAATGTAGGTGGTGGTTCTGGTCTTGGAATTGTTAAGGTTTGATTTTAATATTTGTAAAAAGCTAAATTCTCAAATTCTTAAATTAAATTAATTTTCTGCATGCAAACTATTGATAATAAACTATCGTTGTTTTACTCAAAATTTATTTTTAAAAGTAAGCTTCTCAATTAGTAAAAAATGAAGTTTTAACATGCAATACTTACAACTAAAAACATGCATGAAAATAATTAATGCATGCAAATTTATTTTAATTTGAATGTTTTTTTTTTCTCTAAATTTTGTCCTTTATATTTGGCAATAAATTTAGTATATTTTAATAGCAATTAAATAAATAAATAAATATCTAAGCTAATTAGGACTATCTTAACAAGCAAAATTGCTAACTGTTTAAAGTGTAATCAATTTAATTACTGTGTGCAAATTTCAGGTACTAATTCTTGTGCTTAGTGCAATTGCAATAGCAGTGCATGTGCTTGCATTTTTGCTACCCATTTTATTCATGCATCACTTAAATGATGATGAAAAGATGCATTTTGTACGAACAATGCTTTATCTAAAAAATCAACTATTTGCGCTTGCCTTATTATTTTCATTTGTTGAATTTTTGGACTTTCTCACCGTGCATCATTTATTCGGCCCATGGGCTATTATTATACGAGATCTTATGTATGATCTTCTTAGGTATATAATTTTTCACTTTGGATTATTTCATTAAATTTTATTTTTATTTTGATTATTTTATTAATTTCATTTTAAATTATTCCACTAATTGATATTTTGCATGACAAATTATATTGCAAACTAAATTATTTTGCTATCATAATTTTCCTTCAAATTTGTTACACCTTTAGTCTAGCAGGTTATTTATTCATACTTAAAATTTATTTTGTTTTAAATTAGTAATTTGGTTTTTTTTTTCATCTTTGGTGAATAAAAAAGAAGCTAATAAATTAAAAGTGTTTGATAAAATAGCAAAAATAAAAGGAGAAAAGAGAATTAGGATTGCTCACCGTAGCATTCAAAGATTAAATTCAAAGACAAAAAAAAAAAAATATTTAATTTATAATTAAACAAGTTAAGGATTTCAACCTAATCATTTCAATGAAATTTTTAACTTCATTTACACAATTCTAACTGTTTAATTATTTTTTTGTATTTTATTTTTTAGGTTTCTCGTCATATTACTGCTTTTCATAGCAGGCTTTACTCTACATATCACTTCTATATTTCAGGTAATTAAAAGCAACTAAATATGTTGGATATTTTTTTCATGCCATCCTTTTACAGTTAGAATATTATCACTTTTCTGACTCAAAAAGTATTGCTTAAATTTTTAATTTGAGAAAATTCAGGAACCAACCAAGAAAATTTACCTTTAAACTACATCTTGTGGTTTTTATATTAATTTTTACATCTTTAATATTATTAAAAATTTGATTGCAATGATAACTTTAGCCAGCATATCAGCCTGCGGATGCGGATGATGCGCAATGGATGCGTCTCTCATCACCGGAACAAACTCTTGAAATGTTATTTTTCTCATTGTTTGGACTAGTGGAACCGGATACAATGCCACCACTTCATTTAGTTCCTGATTTTGGCAAAATCATTTTGAAAATGATTTTTGGTATCTATTTGTTGGTTACTTTAATTGTAAGTAATTTTTAAAACTCCATAACTTAATGTTGATATTTATAATTAGATAATTAAAGACTAAATTTAAAATCTGCAAAAAATTTTTTAATTGTAGAATCAATGTTTAAAGTTGAAAGATGAGCTAAGGGATTTTTAGGTCTTAATAAATTTACTGATTGCAATGATGTCTGATACATATCAACGAATTCAAGCACAATCGGATAAAGAGTGGAAATTTGGTCGTGCAATCCTGATCCGGCAAATGAATAAACGTTCTGCTACTCCGGCTCCTATTAATATGCTAACAAAATTGATTGTTGTCCTTAAAGTTGCTTATAGAAATAATTGTAAGCTTTTTTTTTTCTTTTTACTCACAACTATGCATATCTAATAAGCATTAATGAACATTTTAGACAGTGATAGAATTAAGTAATTTTAAATTATATTTAAATTAGATTAATTCTAATCCTGGTACTCTAAAAAGAATTTCGTAATTATAAAATTTGCTAAATTTAAATTTATTTGTTTTAGTTGGATTTTTGAAGTAATTATTTTCAGTAAAATTATGTACACAAAAAGCTCAACAAGATCTTAGGCACGAAGAAAACATTGATGCATTTTCAATGAGCGGCGATGCAGGGCGTCTTAGTCCGGCAATTTTAGCTAGTGATAATAGTGCTGGTATCATTTTCTGCTTAAATTTCAATAATAAAATTTAACAAAATTTCAGATATCACTTAACCTTTTCTCTTTATTCATTCTAACACTAAATATTAGGTCAACATGAATCAATGTTAATTTTAAGTTCTTAAAGTTTTTTAACACATCTATCTCTGATATTTTAATATCAATTCATTATTACAAGTATTAAATCGAATTTTATAATTTCTAAAAAGTAATTAAAAGTTTATAATATCAAAAATTTCGACTTAAAATATCACAAAAAGAAAAAAAAAAAACATAAAATTATTTTTTAGAAGTTCGACGTGGTCAAAATGAAGAATTAGGAAAAAGTGATGATTGGAATATTGAAACAATAATTGATTGGAAACGTATTGTTGATATGTATTATCAAATAAATGGTAAAGTTGATGCAGAAGATATACACGTGGAAATGCCATCATAAATTTAATAAAAACATTAACACAAAAAATATTTGAAATTTTGTTAGAAAAATTTTAAAAACGAAAAAATGAACGAAAGAAATTGAAAATGAAAGAATGAATTATTTGATAAATTGCAGCAAAAGTATCGTTAAGATGAAAATTTCTTCATTAAATTAAAGTTAAAGTTTTTTTTCTTTTCCAATTGAAACTTTTTCATTTTTTTCTTCTCATCTCTTAATAATTTTATAAATGAATGATTTGTATGTATTTGTGTTATTAATTTATTGATTTTGTTTTTTGTTTTCTTTCTTTCTTCCTTTCATATATTTGAAGTGCCCACAACAGTTATTTTTTTTTCTCTTTGCTTTTCTCTTATTAATTTTCTATTTCTGTTTTTTGTATAATAAACTATTCGCTCACTTTTGTTATATAATTGTAAAATAAATTTTTTTCTTAAAAAAAAAAGAAAAGAAAATGACAATAAAATAGCAAATATTAATTGTAAAAGTTTGATCTAATGCTTCATTTCATATCTGAAAATAACAATTGGTTATAAATCAAAAAACAATTTAGGAAATTATTTTAAGATAGCATTTTTGCATTAATATCAAATAATTGCTTCCTTATCACTTTTACATACCATTGCTTATCACTGTGTCATCGTACTCTAGATGATCTCTTCGTTGATCAAATTAAATTGATAAGAGCAAATGCTTAATGTATTTATCATTAGGAAGAGTATATGTATCTTTTAGCTTCATAATTTCAGTAATTACAACTGTGTCTTATACTATTTTATGCCTTATCTTAAAAGATAAAATTTTTGATAATTAATTAAATTAACTTTGACATTTTGCAATTATTGTTGGAAATAGCGATAATTAGATCATTGAATATTTGTAGGTTTCATTTCATTCACCTCGATTACTCTATTCTTTTTATTAACAATTTGTAGGCTTTCTCCACTTGCTAATTCTTCTAAAATTGAGGTTAAATATAAATAAGTGATAATTGAAATTCAGTACAAATACATGGTACTTGAAATTATGTGTACGACAATAAATGATAGTCGAAATCACGTCCATATATAAATGTAAACAATGATTGAAATTAAGAAATGAATTGTAAATGAAATTAAGTAAGTACGAATAATGCTTGAAGAAATGAGTAATAATTGAAATGAATATAGATAAATGGCATGAAAGAATTTGTGTAATGAGAAAATAAATTGTTGAAATTTCATGGTAATCTGAAGTTTTACCAATGTGTAATTGTTTTTGTAAACATACTGATTCGATTGCACTGATTTCTTGTTCAATCGATTCGATCAATTCAATCATTTTATCAAAATTACAAATTCTAAAGTGCAAATATAGTGATAAATGACAAAAATGAAAAAATGATTTTTCTGTTAATTGTATAATTATTATTGTTCAATAATTTCTCCTTTGCATGAAGAATTAATCTATTAATTAATGATAAAAATAAATTTTTGAAATTTCAAAATTTTAAATTAATCAGTTATTTCGTTTCATAGCAAAACCCTATGAGTATATATTTTGATTTCTTATACCTTTCAGTTTGTGATTGTGTACATTTCAACCATTGAATGATTGTATCATTGATGTTATCTTCTTTATTCACATTCTCATTATTATTCCGGAAAGTTTCTTCCGGAAAAGCATCAAAAACAAAAATTTTCTTTGATGTTGTTTTATAATATTTTTGCATATTTTCTCTCGAATTTTTTCTTTTTACAATATTTTTTGACCTGAAAAATTTCTGTTTTATTTTAAATTCATATTTGAATTTTTCATCTATCGTTTTTTTCAACACAAGTAAATTATTGAAAGTTTAATTTTTTTTATCATTTAATTTAATTACTATAGAAATATCACCGAAGAAGTGAAAAAGAAAGAAAAGAAAAAAGTTGCCATTTACAGTAGCAAATGATTTTGATATGATTTCACTAATTTTTTATCCTTAATTAGCATTAATTAGTATAAATTTAATTGATATTCAATCAATCAATGAGAGATTTTGGCATTGATTATCACTAACTCTGTGATAATTATTAAAAAATAATACACACTGATAAGGAATTATTCACATTTAATTAATAAATTTTAGCTATTTTAGTTATTTAAATATTTAATAATTGATTCATCTAACTGAATTTTCGTTGGGTTATAGTCATCAGTTTTCGATTTACTTCGAATTTGCTCATTTATTGATACTTTCGATGGTATTTGAGCTTTATCAAATGCAATTGATAATGGAATATGTGATAAGGCTATATTAATGATATTTTGGGGTAAAATATTAATCATTGTTGAAGATAATTTAGCTGAAAATTTTTAGTTTTTTAAAAAATAAATTTTGAAATTCCAATAAATTTTGTAAGTTTTTTTTTTCTTGCACTGAATTGATATCGATAACATTAAGTTTCTGCTTATTAATTCTCTATTAAAAATGAGTTTAAAATTAATTGATTGTAAATTTTTATTTTTATGAGGTAAAGCTAAAAGTAAAGACATACTCAAAAATATCAAAAATTATCGATTGACTTAAGAGAAAGTAATCAAAATGTAACGAACGGACAAGAAAATTTGCAATTACCATTCTTGTTTTTTTATTTTGTTATTCTAATTTTATTTTCTAAATTTAACTTTTTAATATTTTATGTGCATAATTTATTTTATTTAAACTTTTTCTTACTGTGATGCTTTGAGTAAAAGAAAATATGTATAGTAGTAGCTTACCGGACCTCTTTTCAATTATAACTTCATAAATTGCTGAAGGGACTGATTGCAATTTACAGTTTTTTGAAATCTTTTTAGGTGCACATTTTAATATTTTCAATTTTGTGTAATCCGCAATAAAACATTCCGGAAAATGCAATTGATAGCAGTTTGGTTCATTTTTTAGCAAACTGCTTTCATTTGAAATTTTCATTGCTTTTTCCGACTCTGTGATTAGATTTCTTATTTTCTTTTTTTAATTTTTTAAAAAGAAATATTTTTGGTAAGATTTTCATCTTGGTAAGATTATAATTTGCTAATGATTCTTAAGAAAAAAACTTATTAAAAAAATGTTTTTTTTTTTTTTTAAAAAATAACCTTGCAATTTAAAAGTTGAAATTATTTAATTAATTTTTGGATGTAATTAACAAAAATTTACTGATTGTTGGGTAATTTTTTGTTGATAAAGTGATATTATCGTTATCAAAAGATTCTTGACTGGAAACAGTTATATCAGCGAATGAGAGGATAGTAAGTTCTGAGCTTAAACTTGATGTTCCAATTGTACTTTTCATTTCAGACAAATTTGAATTTAAACTTAGCATATCGTTCAATTCACTGCAACAAATGCAATGACAGATATTAATTTTAATTTTAATATACTGTTAATCAATCAATGATATTTGTGATAGCGAATAATTTTAATGCATATATTTGATTAATGGAAGTATGCAAAGATAATAACAAAATTATTTTCTTGTTAATTTTGACTAAATTATTGATTATTAATTTTATGATCAATTAGCAATTATATTCAATTTGTATTCATTACAATTAGCTGCTACCATTTCAAATTTTGATTGTTTCTAAGTTAAAATAAGTTAGAATTACGAAAGATCTGAAAATTAAAATATTTTATAAACTGAAATTAAAAATATCAGTAGATGTACGTAAAGGACAGAAAATTGATAAAGATTTAACTAAATTACCAATTCATGACAGTTTTTGAGAATAACAACCTGTCAGTCTGATTTTAGAATATAAAATGATGACGGTATTTCATATTTAATTAAACTTTATCCAATATTTTTTTTCGAAATGATTTATTATTTATTTAAATTAAATTAAAGGTTTAATATCTTTAGCATTAATTAAAAAAAAAAAAAAAACGAAAAAAAAAAACATATAAGAATTAAATAAAGAACATTTAAAAAAGAAATGAACTTTTATTCTAGAAGGTATTTCGTTAAATAATAAAAATAATATTGGCTAATCTGTTGCGATCAATCAAATATTCCTATGATAAATTATAAGCACAAATTGTTCTTTATTTCGTTTTTTACATAAATTAAATAAATTAATAAAAAACATTCAAACAAATAGTATCGAACAAAAATATTTAAATTAAAATTTACTAATTATTCTATAAATCTTGAAGGACAAAATTAAGTGCTCTTGCATGAAATCTATTACCAACAATAGTACCACTATTACTGCGACGATATGTTGATGATAATTTCGATGGAAAATTTCGATGGCATAATAACTGGAAATAAAATTTAAGAAAAAAAGAAGTGATAAGAAATTAAGCAAAAAAGTTTTAATTTAGGAGAAAAAAGTAGCATTTAAAGTTTAAAAAATAAACGAAGGTATATATCTTATTATAAATTATAAAATATTTCACTGATAAATTACTGATAAAATTGATAAATTAAGCAATCAAAAAACATAAAAGTAGAAAAAGAAAGTTAAATTTTGAGCAGACAATTTTAAAAGAAAGAAAGTTACGATTTTTCTTCCTGCAAATTTACTCAAAAGTTGTTAGCTATTTAAATTCCAATTAATGCAAAAATTTTGATTTTTAGTAATTTGTTCAAATTTTTATTGTTTAATAATTTTTTAAATTAGATTATAATTGAAAAAGAAATATGATAATATTAATATTATGCATTTCTAATATGTTAAATGATAGGTAATAATTAGGATTGATAAGAAAAAAAATTCAAAAAAACCTTGGAAAAGAAATCATCGGAATGTATACTATGAGGACTAGTTGAGGACACCCCGGTAGCGGATCCTAATATTCGTTTTGGCTTTGGCTTTCTTTTCTTGGCTCTTTTATGACAACAAAATAATAATGTCACATTGGTAATATAACGACCAATCCACCGTAACTAAAAATGTAATGTTTTGACTAAGCAAATTTAAATTTGTTTTGAAAATTTTACAAAAAATCTATTGCAAAGAAATGCGATAAATAGGAGAGAGAGAGAGGGAAAGAGAGGGGGAGAAGGAAAGAAATGAAAAAGAAATGCTTAACAGTTTAAAATATATTCTATCATTAATTGCATCAAAAACAATTTAAAAATTTGATATTTCGTTTCTTTTTTATCATTTTTTAAATAAATTTTCAGCATAAATTCAAAATTACAATTTTATTCATTTTAAGCAATAAAAAAAAGAAAAAAAGATCACTGATATCTTAATGAAATATTTTCAGATTATGTAAATTAATTTTACCTTAGCACTTAATGTTGGTATCCTTAATATAACCAATAACGGATTGAAAAGTGGGTCAACAAATGCGGTAATTCTTGCTAATTGAAACCAACGAGCCCATTCCGTTGCATCTTCACGATTTTCCGCCCAGAAAACAGCTATTTCAACAAATGATTGACCAGCAATTGAGAAAAAATATGCGCAAATGGATAGGAGAAGTGTGTTAAAGAGCATTTCACGTCGACGTTGTGGTTTACATTCACTAAAAATATTTTTATTTAAAAAAAAAAAGGACAGTAAAAATAAAACAAGAAATAAAATTTTTATTGTTAATTGTAATATTAATTAAATTAAGAAATTTTTTTTCAATGAAGAAATTTTAAAAATCTAGCAATCTTTTTTTTTTTTTGAATTTACTTAAATTGATAGAATAATTCGATCAATGAAAATTAACGAAATTTATAAAATTCATCGAAAAAAAAAAATCATTATTCTAGTAAAAGGATTAAACAATCTAGCAATTTAATGTTAAATGAACCGTGTTTCTCCGCTTAATACGTTGTTTTGTCGACGTACGTTGCGATGATGGCAAACTGTCACAACAAATATTATCAATGCTATTATGAGGAAAGTTAACGTAAATAGTGTATGACCACGTAATAAATAAACGCCAAAATCGTAAAATGGTGAAATTCGATCACAAAGATCACCAAAAATATTGTAATCTGCTAACATCAAACTAAAATTAATGTTATACAATTCAAGAATTTATTTAATTTTGATAAACAAAAATTTATTTTATAATTCTCATTTGAGTTATTTTGATAAATTCAAAACAAATATTACCAATACTATTAATGAGTAAGTTATATTCTTTTTACAAATTATTATTATAAATGCAAAAGAATCAATTTAAATAAGAATTATCAAATAATTATTTTTTATGTTGATGGTCAATATTTTATTAATTAATTTCGCATAGATTTCAAATATTTTACATAACATAATGATAATGAATGAGTGATTTATATTAATTTCAAAAATTATTATTATTATTATTTCGATCCAATTATTCTAGCAACTATAAATTTCACTGTTTCATCCAAAAATTAAACCTTATTTCATTACACTGAACATCACGTCGACGTGTCTTCAACGTGTTGAACATTTGACCGATGAAATGAACTGCTGTAAGTTGCAGAGATGAAAATAACAGATGCGTGATGAATAAAAATATCCAAACAAGTGAAAAAATTGAAATTACACATTTCCGTGACAGTCGTATTGATTTACCGGCCATTGAACGATTAATAACAACCTAAATAGCATTCATTATTCTTATTTACTAATGTTATAATTATCGTGATTTCCATTTATTACTATCATAACAATCATGATTCTTATTTGTTAATGTCATAGTGATCGTGATTTTCATTCATTACTACCATAATAATCGTGAGTTCTACTTATTACTATCACGGTAGTGGTAGTTATGATATCTACTTATTATTATCGTAACAATCATGATTTCCGTTTATTACTATCACGGCAATCATGATTACTGCTTATTATTATCATAATAATCATGATTCTCATTTGTTACTATTACAATAGCCGCAATTCATATCCATTTCTATCGTAATAATCGTGATTTCTATTTAATACTATAAGAATCATGTTTTCTACTTATTATTTCATATTTTTTTACTGTACAATTGTTTATAATGCAAATTTTATAGTGGTATTATTGCTACATTACTGCATTTTTTGAAATGATATTGAAATGAAAAAAAAAAAAAAAATCTAATTCTTTATTATTTTTGACAACCATAATTACTGTTAATAGTGTTTTTTTGAATCTTTATATATATGTATATATATTTATTTTGATTAGTTTAGCAGTGTGAAATTCAAGAAGTATTTGAAATTAATTTGACAGTTTGATGCTTCTTTTTAAATTTAATTTAACAAAAATTAATCTAATCGTTATTTTTTCTTTTTCTTTTCTCACTACTGCAAAAAGCAAAATACTTACTAATACAAGAACAAGTAAATTAGTAAGGCCAAGAAGAGAACCATTTTGTGCCAATGAATAAAGCGTTTCTTGAATCATTTGTTGAATGAATTTATTTGTTTCAAATAAATTTGCATTTAATGCTTCAGTTATAACCAGTGATGCTGGAATTGTTCCATCAAAATCCTAAAAAAGAAAAAGGAAAAAGAAGAGAAAATCTAAATTATATAAATTAATCAAATAATTATAAATGAAACTACAAACACATTTTTGCTAAATTTCCACAATTGTTATAAATACTTCTTTTTGCTATTTTTTTTTTTTTTAAAGTTTAAAAGAATTTGCTGTAATCTTCTAAATAATATTTTGATTATGACATAATTATTATTTAGAGATGAATTTATAAAATTATTTTATTCTAAATACATTAAAATCGTTCTGTATTTTTCCTTATAACTTATTAAGTATAAATAATATTTTATATTTTTTGAATAGGAAAAATTAGTAGAAAAAACAAATTATGGCTAAAAAGAGATTTAAATAATAATTTAAATAAGTTCTTTCACTATTGAGCACTAATCTATTTTTATCGAATGCAAAATGTTACATAATATCGTTCTCTGACAATTTAGAAAAAAAAATATCTGACATATTTTCTTTTTTTTTTATTTAATGACAATTTTAATGCAAAAAATAAAAAATAATTTTTTTGGAAAACGAAGCAAATTTGTAATTAAATTATGCGAACCCTTGCAAATAAATTATTTGCAATTTTAAGTTGAAATAACAATAAACAATAACGAAAAAAAGAAAGAAATGAAATAATTTAAAAGAAATTGTAATGCTAATTATAACCAACAGTAATGATAACGCTAATAATTAATAATAATAATATTAATAATAGTAATTAATAGTAATAAAAGTAGTAGTTGATATTATTTATCGTTTTTATTCACTTATTTTTTCCATTATTCTCTATTTTAATTGTTTTTTCTTTCTTTTTTGTCTCTTGTTAAACAACAGAGAAACTATTTCCTTTTTTTTTTATTATTTTACTCATTTTGTTTTTCTAAAGTTTTTTAAAATATAATTAATTAATTAAAAAAGAAAACGATACCATATCACTTAGTGCTTTAGATGCTTTATCACTGACTGTTTGAGAAAGTAAGAAAACAAATGATATGATAAATAATGAATTGGAAAAAATGATATTAAATATGAATAGCACCATTGCTGTTGATAAATGTTTATATGATTTCCATAATAATAATAATAATATTATAGTAATAATTAGTACTAATAATAAAAGAAATGTTTCTGTATAAATACCAATTTCAGCAAATCGTGCAATTGTTCTGTAATAATTAAAAATTTCAATATATAAATTAAAAAAAGAAAAAAAAAATTAAATAATATTGTTATGGAAAATTTAAATTAATATTAGCAATAAAATTGTAATAAAATACTTTTTTTAATAAAACTTGAAATTTACCATTAAAAAAAATTCTTTCTTCTTCTGTTGAATTAACTAATACTTTTACTTTTTTTTAACAGAAAAATTTTTGTCATTGTTTTTGCTGTTAACCATAAAATAAATTATACGCTATCAAAAAAAAAAGAAATAAATAAAAAATAATTATTATTACTTTTCATGATTTCATATGAATTTTTAAATCATTTCAAATATCAATAAATAATTACCTAATTTCTGCATTTGTCTGTGCACTGACAAACAGATTTCCTTCATATGAACAATAATTGAATTTATCATTATCATTCTCGTTATTATCATAAATAAAACCATTTCTACTGCTATTATCAATACTGCTTTCCAAAATATATTGTTCCTCTTCTCGTTGTTGAATACACCTAATTTCATCATTCCACACATCTCTTTTGTTTTAAATCTTTAATTATTAATTTGCAAAAAGAAAAAAAGAAAAAAAAACACACTATTTTTAAATACTCAAAGATTATAATTTAAATTTATAAATTCCTTAGTTTCAAAATTGCATTTTCTTATAAAATTTTCACCTAGTAATTAATTTTGATTTACACATACATATACATTTTTTTTTCACATATTGTATGAAATTTTACAAAGGAAAGGATATAAAATTAATGCTAAACAATTCTAAATGAAATTTAACAATAAATAAAAAAAAAAAAAAAAAAGCAAATGGAATTTAAGGAAAAAGAAGAATAAAATTATTTCATTATAATTTTTGAAAATTTTTATATCAAATTTTATGCTAATGAATAATTTTTAAGTAGTTTAATAACTAATAAATGTTAACATGTTAGCTTTGTCCAGTTCACGTTGCAATTTAACAGCTGTAATGCTAAAAAGTTGAAGATGAAGGCGTGTTTTCAAAACAATCTCTAGCAATGGACTAGCACGATTAATTGTTGATATGAGATAATTGCTGAAAAGAATATTCATTTGATTAAAAATTGATAATAAATTATTTTTTAAAAAAATACTTTTTATATATTTTTTTTAAAGAATTTCATAAATAATATTTAGCATAGATTTTTTTTTTTTTTTTGCAGTTATTAATATCATATGATTAACTGTATCTTGAATAATTTGATTTTTATCAAATTATTTGACTAAAAGTAATATATAGAATTATTTGTAGTAGTTAATTTGATTAATTAGTAATTTTAACCTTAATAAATTCATAAAGTATATATCATTTGAGAGTGCTTCACCAAATGATGAATATTTTGGTAGCATATTAATGACAAAATCATGCAACGTATGACAATTTCTGGCAAACCGTTGAAAAAGCACATTCATTTTAATTAATCGCAACGTTGAATTTCCAGAACACATCTGAAATTTTTTTTTTTTTTTCAACGAAATATTTAAAATTAACTTTATTTGAATTATAAATGAATGAAGAAGAAAAAAACGAATTAAACAAAACAAAAAGACATTATTTTGAAATAAAAGAAAATTTTTAAAACAAAATTACTTTTTCAAGAAAAAAAAAATGAAAGAATGTTAAAATACTTTATTCAGAAGATATAGCTTATTATTTGGTTTGTCTGCAAGGCAACGTTGAAATAAATCGTTATTTGTGTTCTGTATTTGTTGACAGATGATTCTTCAAGTAATAAAATTTGTTAGATGAATTTTTCTTATCATTTGTTATCAATATTAAATATTAACTTTTACAAGCTTAGGTAAAACAAGCACTGATAAGAGATACCGATGATAATCAAGAGTGAGTAATAATTTAAAGCGTACATTAAGATATTAGAAAAAAGTCAAAAATAGTTATACCAGTCGCTTTCACATATTATCAAATGATAAATTATGACTTGTTATCAAATTTGATTGATAACTGATAATTCTTAAGGTCACTTGTTACCTGCGATCTGTATTGTTATCTTCGAAAAGAATTCGAAACAAATCTGCATATTTCATTAATCCATAAAGATTTATATCATTAATTTCTTGACATACCTGAAAATGAAGATGATAGCTATCAGATTAATTAAATTAATTCCAATATAATTTGATCATGAAAAAAATTTCATTTCTAATAACATTTTGAAAATTTTTTCGAAGTTTAAATTCAGGGCATTTGAAAAAATTGTGCTCAAATTTAATTTTTTTAAATTGATTGAAAATATTTTTTGTGAATTTATTATTGCTTTAAATAAAATTATTTCAAACTGTAATCTTTTAAACAAAAACTTAGACATTGTTGATATTTTATGAAAAATTTGTTTAAAATAAATTTAAAAGTTTAAAATATATAAAATATACTTTTCAAATTTAAAAGTTTAAGTAATGTTCAAGTTCTTTTTTTTTTTTAAATTTTTTTGATAACATCTTTTCAACTTCAAACTAACTAATCACTTATCTAATATTTACCAATGCAAAGGCAGCTCGTGTAATTAATACTTGAAATGTTCGATTATAATGAATTTCAGGTCTCTTCCAATTTAAAACGTGATTCACTTCACAGTATTGCAACGCCTGCATAAACCATACCAAAGAAATATGACGTGACGGTACGTAACGCTCAATTTCAGGTGAACATAACGCATCATGTTGAAATAAACGATAAAGCTATAATAAATTACTATAAGTGATTTAATTTTTATAATTCAAAATTTTGTCATATAATTGAAATAATTGAATTCACATTGCATTTAATTCATTCATTTTTTTTCACTAATTAAACTGTTATTTAATTAATTTACAGTAAAATTCATATCAGTTACACTATTTTCTTTTCGATATTTTAGAATTAAAACTTTTTTATTTTTGTTTTTTTTTTAGCTAATAAATTATTTACTTGTAATTCATATTTATCAATTGATAAAATACATACCAATGTTATCCCAGAACGATGCATAACTAATTGTCGATTATTTTGAGTGCATAATGCTGCTAACTTACTACGATTATCAAACGGTGATAACCATTTGAAGTTATCATCTGATGATAAATGATAAGCTATCGCATTGGAATACGAAAGTAGTTGTAATAGTAAGAAATGAATGAATGCATAATTGTATTTCATAGGAATTTATGTCTACGCTTGTTATTGTTAGTATAATTAGTATAACTGTAATAAATTAGTATAATAGCTTAACTGTAACAAATTTTTATAATTAATAAAAATTAATATGAAAACAGAAATAATTTATAAAATGAAAATTAAAGTAAAAAAAAAGAGAAAAATTAGACTAAGAAAACAAATAATATATTGTATATATAATAATAAATGAGACGAAAGAAACTATTCTAGCAAAATGTTAAATGTATGAAATATATTTGCCCATAAATGTAATCAGCCAATAACTTCTGGCTTAAGCCTTATACTATCCTTCTCTCTTCCTCTCCTCCCTTTTCTAAAAATTTTTTTTTTTTTTGAAATATTTTAGTTAATTTTCGGAAAATTTTTTTTTTCAATAAGTTAGTGATTAATATTTGTAAGTGAAAAATATTTTTTATCGCTTGTGGAAACAATACAATAAAATTAAAGTAATTGTTTGAAAAGTAATTTAAATTACAGAAAATTAACTTATGAATATTCTATACAATAAAAATGATTGCTTACAATTTGTAAGTTTGTTTTGTTTTATTTCTTGAATGTTTCATTAAAGATTCTTCTTTCCTTTTTTTTTTTTTTTTTTTAAAAAAACACAGAAAAAAATTAATTATAAAATATTTAAATCATTAACATAAAATATATAAATTAATTACAAAATATTTCATTCATTCAAGTAATTGTTATTTACATAATAATATTTCACTCACTTATTTCTCTAACCTTGAATTAATTAATTTATCTATTAAATTCTCTTACTTCTTAATTATTTCGACATTGGCATATTTTCCACAATAATTATTACACATCTATCCGATACTACTTTTTATAGCAATAAAAAATGTTTAATTTTTTTAAGTCTTATTGTTCCACCAATCTTTCTAATGATCAACAACAAGTTTTGATATAAAAATTTGCAAATTAATAGAAAAACTTGTATAAAATTTGAAAACCAAAAAGAAAAAAAAAAAACAAAATTGCAAAAAGAAATATGTTGAAGATTTGATGAGTTAAAAATAGAATTTAACATTTAAAACTTAATAAAGTAACGAATTAGTTTTTTTCAACAGAATAAAAAAAATTATCAACATTTTTGATCAATAAATTTTTAATAAATCTATCAATTTTTAAACATTACTAGTTTTTTATTTAATTAATAATGAATACTAATAAATATGTGAGAAAGATGAAAATAATGCAGGGAAAAAATAATACTTTTTAAATAATAATAATAATAATAAAATAAAATCTACATGCCAATCTAAAATTATTAGTAATGTTAGTATTAAAATTAAACAAAAACTAATTTTAGTGTTAGTATTTTATTTTTCCACAAACAATCATAAGTGAAATGATACAATAATCAAAACAAATATATAATATTTGACCATAATAGTTCAAATATGATTAAAAAAAAAGATGAAAATTCTTCTCAATAATACAAATTTTTAGAGAATGCAATTCATTCATCAGTTAAGTTAAGAAAGTTATTTACTTCTTTCCTCTAAAATCTATACATTTCGTCTTGTGATAGATATTATTCAGATTGCGTCATTGCAGAAAGCGTCACAAGTGCTTCATTTACGTAAAGGAAAGTATGCTGTAGTTAAAAGTGGATTATCAATTGGTAAATTGAGTCAACCAATTTATCATTTTGTATTATATTTTGACCTATTCCTATTCAAATTTATCAATTCTTATTCAATTTATTAATTTCATCCATTTAATTCTATCTAATTCTATTTGAAAGAAAAGAAAAAAAAAACTATTTTTTTCTTTTTTGTTCATCAAAATTCAAATGAAAATTAAAATAGAAATAAAAATTAAAAAAAAAAAAAAAAAAAAAAAGAAACTGCGAACAAAACTGATTAAATTAAAAGTATGACAAATCGTAGATGTAAAATTTAAGTATTTACAGTTATCTTTAGCATTTGTAATTTGCATATGATTAATGATAATTATTAATAAAACAAATTTATGATGACAATTAGAATTTCATTTTTTTTTTTTTTTTTTATTTTGGAGCCTGGTTAATTTCAAATAAGTGAAAAAGAGTAATCAAAAAGTAAAAGAAAATCATTTATGATTTACTTTAAATGTATTTTTGAATCATTGCTATACATTAAAATGCATGTTTAATAAAAATTTTCTTTCTTTTGCAATTCATTAACTTAAATTCAAATTTCAAAATATGAAATAAAAAGAGAAAAGAAGAAAGGATAAAAATATTTTACTAATGACTGCATCACATGAACAGTCTAAACTTTCTGATTTCTAGAGAAGTGTAATTGCATTAAAGTCAGTTTAGTTTAAAATAAGTACTCTTGGCACATTATTCAGTGTCAATTAAGTTAGAATTGATTTTTAAAAAAGAAAAAAAAAAAGAAAAAAAAAAACGCTACAAAGTATAATGCCCAGAAAAGAAATAAAAAAAATTCATAGACTAAATGAAAGGAAAAAATGCTTATTTAATGATGATGAATTTATAGCAAAAGTAAGTAAGTTTAATCCTAAACATATCTGATAACACTTTATTCAAAAAAAAAAAAAAAACAATATTTTGATTAAAAAGAAAAGAGAAAAGAGATTTTACAACTTTTTTTAAATGGTAGTTAAAACTTTTGAAATTTATTTATTATCATCCCAAGTGTAATTAGTATATTTAGCGCAAATTTCTATAACAAATGAACATTATGATATCTCACATGGGAGCTCTCAGGACTATTAAATTAATTCGAAATTTAGCTTACTAATATGAGATAGAATTAATTGAATGCAGAATTTAACTTCTATTTTTGAATATTTTCCAAGAAATCGAAGTGAAACATTGAGCCCATCAGAAAAACCGAAACAATGAGCTAAAAGCTTAATCAAATTTTCTTTCACTACATTTCACTCAGTTTGGAAAGCATTGAGAGCATTTTTGAAATAGCATTCTGATAAAATAGACTGGAAGATGAAATGATTTTAAAGTCATAATCAGTTTCTTAATTTTTTCTTTTATTTTTAAAAGAGTTTGTTAAAATGTTTAATCATATTGGTAGCATATTCCTTATGCTTTTTTTGCGTTTTTTTTTTTGCGTTTTTTTTTTTTTTAAATACAAAATAGAAAATAAGAATTGATGGATAAAATGAAGGAGGAAAATGTCGGTAAACAAATTATGCTAATGAGTTTTAGTCATTTCAGTTCTTTCCTTTCATTAAAATACTCTTTTGCATTTTGTAATCACTCAAGTGTTAAGTTATCCGTCTACAGAAAAGTGTTTTGTTGTATTTGTTGTAAAATTGTCAGATTTAAAATTAGGAAATCTTTATTCCCAAATATATTTAATTTTTATTCATATTTTTAAGTAATGATTTTTTTTTTTTAAAAAAAAGGAATAATTTAAGAGAAATGCTCTCAAATTATTCCTTTTTTCAACTTTTTTCTTCTAAAAACTTTAGAAGATTTAAATTTTAATAAGTATATATAATGTTGGGAATAATTCATCTGCAAATCACTATTAATGATACAATCAGTAGCTAATTTAAATGAAACAATTTTATGTGCCAACTTTTTTTTTGAAATGAAATTTCATTTAGATTACAAGTAATTACATTATTACATCACTAACATTTCTGATAATCATTATTAACTGTTAATTTGCTTAATTACGCCATGCATATGATTATTTCTGAACTTAGAAATAATCACTGATAAGCAAAAACTACAAATTTAGAGATCAAAAGACAATAAAGGGTAGTAGGACAAATTTGATTATCAGTGTTTCTTGCACACTGTAATTATCACTATATCTAATCATAACGCTTTTTTGTTGCTTATCATAAAAGAGAAATCAAGTTGAATGTTGCTGAAATAGCAAGAAAAAAAACAAAAGGAAAGCAAATTAATTAAATAACTGAGTAAATCAAATAGGGAGATAAATAAATAGATAAAAGATAAATAAATTAATTAAATAAAATGAGTAAATAAACATATTAAAAAATAAATAAAATTGATTAATTAAATGAAATAAAAATAAAAACAAATAAGTGAATAAATAAATTGAATTTTGTCCATTGGAGTAGGAGACGCAAAGTCGGTTATACCAAATAAGCTTTTGTTTCAGAGAAAAGTTTTCGCTAGAAGTTTTGATTCAAATTTATTTGTTTGTCTTAAATTTATTTATTTTTGATTCAAATTTGATTTGTCCTAAAATCCAATTTTTTCGGAACTTTTTTAAATCAAGAATTCCAAAAATAAAATTTGCTAAACATCATTTTCATTCTTAAACACGATTCAAATTTAATTTCTACATTTTCTCAACAAACATTTGATAATGTATAAATAATTTATAAATTTATCATTTCAAATACAGCAAATTATACATTCTTTTTCAAATTTAAATCCAAACTAAAATTGTAGGTATCAATTTTGTAGGAACGAAAACTTATATCACAAGTCTTCGGTAAAGGTTAGTGATTTTTATGAGTTTTAGAAGTAATAGATGATATCTTGAGAATGTTTCTGCTAATTCATAGAGGTCAAATTATTGAGGGTAGGTCAGCTCACATAGCAGTAACGTTAAGTTTAAACGAGCTTTCCATCCTTTTTTTCATTATTATTAAATTCATTATTCAAACCCATTTTAAGTATCATAGACAAGGATTTTAACCAAAGTTATCTCTCATTTTTGTCAACAAGAGTTTTAGTAAAAATATTACAATTAGGTCTATCAGATACTATAGGAATTAAAATTTAGAAATAAAGTTTATTAAAATGATTGAAGAATGAAACTAAAGCGACTTGACATTTTTGAAATTTTGATGATTCTGGCCAATTTTTTTTCCATTACTTCGTAAAGCAGAATCAATTAGCAGCTTTGCCTGCAGAAAAATCGGAAGAACAATGACAAGTAACTCTGAACGTTATTATTCCCATAAAGGTCAAATGAATTGACCTCCATGGTAAGAACAGAGTGGTGAAAAGGAACGTACAAAACAAATGACAACTATTTCTTTCCGTCCTAAAATATTTTAACTTTTCGATTCTTGAATAAAATTGTTGAAAATTAAATTAATGTTGTAATTTCTCAATTACAGAATTAATTCATTTCATAACGTGTACTTTAATTTTTTTGAAAACAAAATATTTGAATATTCCAATTCCACACAGTGCCTAGATAATGAGCCAAATGCCTCCCCATCATGTCAGTAATTATCAAAAGGATTCATCACGTCAATTATTATCAGAAGGACAAATGCGCCACAAAACTTCATGCCATGGTAGTTGTTTTCAATAGGATGAAATCATTTTTAAGCTGCAACGTTTCACTAGTATCTCGACATGACATACTGCATATTCACGACCTTGGCCGCTATGAAAACTATGATCTCAGTCATTGTTTAGGCGAATTTCTCCAACTCTCCTTCCTGTCTCTAGTAAATGCTTGGGAGTAAGTGATTGCAAATTTCTTTCGTCATATGTGACTGCAACTATTTTTTATCTTTCATCACGTTTCACGTATGTGCTTTTCACGTTTTATATTTGTTTCATGTCGTTTACTCACTTCTTACGTCTATTTTATGTCGTCGTCCATTATGTCACATTTTACGAGTGTAAATGCTAACATACTAAAAGTTTCGTATATAATTGTTACATTTTGCTAGAATCCTTCTCAAACTCATCATTTTCGCAGTCCCATAATATTGACCTTGAATTTCGGGAAAGATTAGTAATTTCAAATTTTATCAAGTATCCCGCGAACTTTCCCTAGAACATTATCATTATTTTTTATTTGCTAGGAAACTATATGCAGTGATCAAATATTGTCCTTGTCTGGTTCATTAATTTTTATTAAGCTATCAATGTTCACAACCTAAAGAAAAAAATAAGAAATATTAGCTTTTTCAAATTAGTTTAGGATTTTAAAATACTAACTATGTATATGTCTCTTTTGTGTTGCAATTTTCGGAATAGTTCCTTTCGATCACCACAATTGATTTTTTTTAGGTACTAATTCGGTTTGCAAGTTAAAACTACTCATAAATCACAGCTGGTTCAAATCAGGATTGACTTACTCGTTTAGAATTTTAAAATATTAGCTATGTAGAAATAGACTGCTAATATGCATACGGTTATTTTCATCAATGTTGTTTGCAGTTTGGAAAGTATCAAATTAAAATGTTACCTAAATTCGCATGCTGATAGATTTCGTTACTGTTAGAGAAAGAGTAAGTTGATAGAGGGAGGGGGAGGAGAATGATGCGATGAGGAATGCTTTCGTTCAGGTCATTCAGTAAAATGTTTATTACCTGTTCAATTTTTCTTCTTGCTTAGGTTAGTTGTGTGAAGTTAACTCTGCCCTGAACATACCTTCTAATTTAACCGTTATCATTTTTCTCTTTTTTTTGACTAAGAATACGTTATAAAACCTAATAAACATTAATTTCCTATAGGTTTACATATTGTCTTCGTATATTTCTATAAGTAATAACTTATGGAAAAATGAATAAACTGTATAAGATTGTCGTAATGATTATAGATGAAGATGAGTTATAGATTAAGTGAGAACAATTACAAATTATTCATTTTCTTTTCGTTTTTCTCATATTACTTAGTTAATTGTCAATCATTCTATTTACACTATTTGATAGGAGCACTTCACATGTAAGTAATATCACCCAATATTTGCGAATATTGATTGGAATGATTGTAAGATGACAGTGACATCACTTTTAGAATAATTGTTCAGTTTACACTTTCTATTGGTACTATTTAATGGAAGCATTTGATATTTATGAATGGAAGGGAAAGAAGCAACAACGATTGTTATTGCAGTACTGATTATTCTATTAATAGCTCTTATTCTAATGCAAAAAAAGGAAATGTAACTACAGTAGTAATGCATTATTAGGGTGACACGATGGTATACGCATGCATATAAGCGTGCACGCATAGTGTATGTGTGTGTGTGCGCGCGCAAGTATTCTCTGTATTTGATGATGGTAATAGGCCTGCGATATGCGATGTGTACCATTTGAAAGGAGTCCACTGTATGAGTGAATCCCTCTCCCCTCTACCGTGATTGCACTATACTACCCAGCTTTTCAGGAATTGGTAGCATCCACTCATTGTAGGACAGTGAGGGGACTATCCACAATCACGTCCGTTGCGTTGCGTTACCTGTATTACACATACCTACTATGACCTCTCTGTCGCTGATGTGTTATTGAGTGCATGGATTGGAGAGAGAGAGAGAGAGAGATGTGTGTGATGTAGCATTTCACGAGGTCTATCAAATTGAGAGGCAGGAGATGAAATTTAGGCCACCTTCACTGGGTAATGAATCGATAACGGAGCACTATTCTCTCTGTCTTCTCTGCTCACTCTCATCTTATCCAATCTCTTCGACTCCTATCTCACTCTTACACTGCGATCTCTCACCCCGCAGACATCTCCGTCTGTATCACTGTTTGTATGCAGACAGTGTATGCACTGTCTACTCCATGTCACGTCGACTATTACATGATGTCATGCTGTCTGCTCCCGGTGTACTCCATCTCTGTCAGTATGTGAGTATGTGTGTCTGTTTATGTTCGCTGTCTGTGCATGTCAACTGCACACAGCGCGTGTAGGGTTGTCTGTGCGAGACGCAGTCGTTTCGTCGTGTTGTATGGAGTGGAGCATTTTAGGCCAAGCGAAAGTCTGAGGTGGTGATTCAGTGGTGGGGTGGTACGTGTTAGGTATACCTTTGCGTAGAATTAATTATACGTTTGTGATAGTAAAATGAGTACCTTCACGTGGTCACAGTCTTTTTTTTTTTGCACTGGAAATTGCAGTTGATGGGTGGTATGAATTCTCTGTAAAGTTCACGTAATGTTATATGAAAAGGCATCCATCTAATATGTGGAGTTGTTGCTTCTATTGGTTAATTTAGCAAAAAGATTTCAGTATCTTCTCGACTTTTTGTGTACTGGTTGTCAACTCGTAACGTAAGTTCGGAAGTTCTTGCACATATAATGGGAAAGGAAAAGACTCATATCAATATTGTCGTCATTGGACATGTCGATTCGGGTAAATCGACGACGACCGGCCATTTAATTTACAAATGTGGTGGTATCGATAAACGTACTATTGAAAAATTCGAAAAAGAAGCGCAAGAGATGGGCAAAGGTTCATTCAAGTATGCTTGGGTGTTGGACAAGTTGAAGGCGGAACGTGAACGTGGTATCACCATCGACATTGCCTTGTGGAAGTTTGAAACCTCCAAATACTATGTCACCATTATTGACGCCCCAGGACATCGTGATTTCATCAAGAATATGATTACTGGTATGTTTATTATAAGCTCTTGAGATTGAATTTTCTTGTCCTTACTATCGAAATTTATTCTGTTACAATGATCACACGTCCCTTCTTTCGGTAATTATGCTGAGGCGAATAAAATTGAATATATGTAGAATATTAAACAAACAAATTTGCATTATTGCAGGAACATCACAGGCCGACTGTGCTGTTTTGGTTGTTGCTTGTGGTACTGGTGAATTCGAAGCTGGTATCTCGAAAAATGGACAGACTCGGGAACATGCTTTGCTCGCTCAGACGCTTGGAGTGAAACAGCTGATAGTAGCATGTAACAAGATGGATTCAACTGAACCAGCTTTCTCCGAAGCTCGATTCAATGAGGTTAAAATCATTTCAAAAGTAAAGGGATTCAACACTGAATGGTGGCTAATATTAATTTTGTGATTGTGGTAATGATATCATAGTTTTCCAATGTTTCAGGTTACAAATGAAGTTTCGAATTACATCAAGAAAATCGGCTACAATCCAAAAGCTGTTGCTTTTGTCCCGATCTCAGGTTTTAATGGCGACAATATGTTGGAACCATCTCCCAATATGCCATGGTTCAAAGGATGGAATGTTGAAAGGAAGGAAGGAAATGCTTCTGGCAAGACACTCCTGGAAGCTTTAGATGCTGTGATTCCACCATCAAGACCTACTGACAAACCCCTCAGATTGCCTTTGCAAGATGTGTACAAGATTGGAGGTACATCCTGTATTCATTCTCGCAATTTCGAGCGCAGGCTTAATGCTATGTAATTTAATCCTTATGCGTATTTATTGTTTCAGGTATTGGAACTGTACCTGTTGGTCGCGTCGAAACTGGTATCCTAAAACCAGGCATGGTGGTAACATTTGCACCACAGAATATTACCACTGAAGTAAAGTCAGTGGAGATGCATCATGAAGCTTTGCAAGAAGCACTTCCTGGTGATAACGTTGGTTTCAATGTTAAGAACGTGTCTATCAAGGAAATTCGACGTGGTTCGGTTGCTTCCGATTCCAAGAATGACCCCGCCAAGGAAACCAAGCAGTTTACTGCGCAGGTAAACAGAATTGTTTTTGTAGGGAATATTACTCTGTTACATGAAATACAGTAAGTCCTTAATCGTATCACATTTTTTAGGTCATCATCATGAATCATCCGGGTCAGATTGCTGCAGGATACACTCCAGTCCTTGACTGTCATACAGCTCATATTGCTTGTAAATTCGCAGAACTTAAAGAAAAGGTCGACAGGCGATCCGGCAAGAAAGTGGAAGATAATCCAAAAGTTTGTTTCCAGGGGATTTTTTGAACTAGTGGCTATATCTGATTAAGGTCATTAGAGAGTTTCCATAACTTGTCACTTCTCTTATCTGAATATAGAATATCATTTTAAAATTTGTAGTTCCTGAAGTCGGGCGATGCTGGTATTATTGATCTGATTCCAACAAAACCGCTGTGTGTTGAAACGTTCACCGAATATCCACCACTTGGACGATTCGCTGTGCGTGACATGCGACAAACAGTGGCAGTTGGTGTTATCAAAGGTGTTGAAAAGACGGAAGGTGGTGCCGGGAAAGTGACGAAGGCAGCGCAGAAGGCTGGAACGGCACCAGCTGGAAAGAAGAAATAATTTTTAAGAAGGGGGGTTTATGAAGGCGAAGTCGTTAGATATTATTACCCATACGTTAACTTGTTATTGATGGAAAGGAAATTTTTTATCTCGTGGGTTGGATGGTGCTTTCTTCTAAATATGATTCAACAGCTTCGTTAAAATTAGTATGATTTCTTTAAAATCTTTAGCAAGAAATTACCTTTGAATTTTGGCAATGTTTGTTGTTATTACATCGTTATGTTTAATGGAAGTGGTAAAACATTTGTGTTTTCATTAAATTGCCTTGGCTTATGTTTGAAATGTTGGACCGTCATCGATTATTCGTTTCTTTTGTTGATAAAATTATGATTTTGGGGTTTCGCAAGCATTGGTGCAAATGCTGAATGTAGCAAAAACATGATATTGGGTTGAAAAAGGCAATATGATATTTCAGTGTTTCTGACCTTCATATTATTGAAGAACAGCCTTTAGCCATGCTAGGCACCCAGTCGCCTTGTGATATGTAATAGTGAGGTGGGCTTGTGGTTTCAAAATTCTGGGGCGTTTTTAGCTAGGTGTTTTACCTGTGTATTTTGGTGGTATATTTTGGGAGGTGGTTAAGTTTGTGGTCGTGATGTGCGCTTTCCAGATTTACACTGAGGAATTGCTGGTACTTTTCAAGGATGCTAAAGCAAAAAAAGCTGGATGAGGCGCTGAGAGCAGGTGCAGATGGAAGACGTGTTAATGTGGATAAGGTGTGTACAGTCCTTAATTTCTATTGAAAGGCCTCGTCTTGTCATTCTGTTCTGGCAAAGTTAGTTGCATTGGTTTTGAGTTCCGTAATTTTTTCCAAGAATCAGGTGGCAAAGTTCGCTTTAATATTAGTGTGCAACATCAAAATGTGACATTCCAGTTGATGGCTTCAACGGTCCATACTTTGATCAATTATAACATCGAATTCACTCCAGCTAGCACTTCCCAGGACACAATACAAAGTGGCAGTCTGAAGTAATATTTAGTTTGTTTGTAGATTCGTTCGATCCAAAAAAAAAAAGTTACTCATACGGTGAAAAGGCTGGATTATTCAGGAACGGACAGTGTCCACACTTGAAACAAAAAGCGCCTAATAGAGGGGTTGTGATTTGATTTTGTTCTCCAAATTCCAAAATTTATGTAGTACAAGATACAAGGGTATGGGTGTATGCAAAAAAATATATCCTTTACGGATCTATAAGTTCCTGCGACTTTTTAAATGCATTTTCTATTTCAGTATTACTATAAATTTAACCTTCTTTATATCTGAATCACCTTGAAACATATTGAAATGAAAATTTGCTTATTTTGCAGGTATATTCTCCTTAAACCAGAAAATGAGCCGACAAGAAAGAAAAACATAACTAATAATGTTCAGTTAAAAAAAAGTACGGCGAAATCCGGATTTTGTAAATTTCATCGTAAAGAACACAACAATGAAGTGTCAGTTATTATATATTTTGCAATTATTTGATATTATATAGGGTTTATTGGATCAGCTAACTACTTCAGTAATTCTTAATGTTTAGTGGAGTGTTTCAATATTAATGACTGTTATCTATTACTTATGTGAATAGATATTTATGTAGAGATAGTTTTTACAAAAATTGATGTAAGACTCGTTAGCACCATAACAGGCTTATAATATTGTTGAGACATAATTCAGTCTTTTTTTTTTTTTTTTTTTTTTTTAAATTATGTTATAGATGATGCGTAGGAAGTTTGAAGTATATACAATTTAGTAAGAAGGAATTTCGGGAATTGGAAATATATACAAAATAATGAACATTGATAAAAGTGCACTTCATTAAGCTATCGGTTATTTGATTGTCTAATTTTCAAATGTATTTGCAGAAAACAAAGTAGAGAAAAGAGGAAATCCATTAAAAAAAAGTGGCCAAGCACGATTCAAAAATGTCAGCAGAAAAGACGACGCAAAATAAACAAAAGTTGATGCTTGCGGCATAAGTTAATCATTAATCTACTAGGGATTATTTTCTCCTATGTTTGCAACATTTGCTCCGTTAAAATATGGATGTCCAGCATAGCTGTTGGAGTTACGTCTGTCTAAAGTTTATTTCATAGACGTTTAATTGTTTTAGAGTTATTCTTCATTAATTTCACTTTCCCTTTCTCTTGATCTGTCATGTTGATTGGATCAATCATTTTAGGGATTGCTCTGCTATCATTCATTCATCATTTCTCTGCAAAACATATGCTACTGCCCTATGAAGCACTTAAATAGATTTGCTGATATTCCATCTTATTGCTTCTTGCATATCATGATGAGATTTTAGAGTTATACTTTGTAGGAATTAATTTTGCTATTGCAACCAATAAATGAAGTTATTGAGATTAACATTTTTGCTTCATCTCAATGTTATTACTATGTAGTTTTAATGTGCAATCATTGTATATTGTTCCTCAAAAGCATCGGGAATAGCTTCATGTGGTGCTCGATTAGGAATATAAGTGCCGAAAAGTATAGTGCATATGAGCTGATTGTACATGGAATTTATTGGCAGTGCTATGTGATTGTGAGCTGTCGCATAGTCGCTTCGATCTGTAATAAAATAATCATCAGTTATGTGAATGGTTATGGTTTATTTAGATTATTAAAATTAATTGAATTGCCTAATGCTCCACGTTCAATTATTCATAATTTCAATCTCATTTAAAATGACGAAAATTGTCATTTATTACTTAAAAATTGAGCAAATCTGTGTTTATGGTATGTGAACAAGCCTAAAGTATTATATTTTGTGACATATCAGTGATTTTGCCTTTATTTTTCGGCACTTTTGGAGGAGTGCTATGGAAAAGTGCAATTACTTATTTCAAAGTAGTAAAAGAGAATTTCATAACATAAACAAATGATAATTTCGTATAAAAATGAAATGAGATATCCGTATTACATATATTTTTTGAGGTTACTTGAAATGTTAAAACACAATATATGTAATTAAGGGACGATAAAGAAAAGGTTAAAATTATTCAGCAAATCAATCTCCTTCATCACTTTTTTTATTTAGATTTTTCAAAATAAAAATTTCATAAATTATAACGGAAGTTTTTGATCGAAATAAGAGTTGCTCTGAACTCCTGTGATAAAATGATCAAATTTTATGAGGGTATTCAAGTTTTGAAATTGCAGCTTTTCAAGGTTTTGAAAATCTAAAAATAAATGCTTTACAATCAATTTATAAAAATATATGATATTCAATGAGTTACAATGGTATAATGCAATGATGCATCTTATCATTATTTTTATAGTGATTATTATTATTATTATTATTATTATTATTATTATTATTATTATTATTATTATTATTATTAAATAGTGTTATTTTATTTTTATATTATATTATTTTTATTTTTAAATAATATATGCTTACAATAGCCTTTTCCTAATAATCGTTGCAAATTTGCAAATGTAAAGCCGATAGCAACAATTGTTGAAAATAAGTAAATGAAATCAAATTGCTGATAAAAAATACCATATACAATGCATAACAATGTTGCTGAACATATCGGATAAGATAAGAATTTTCGTCGGTTTTGACCAATTTTTGGACAAATAAACTGTAAGAAAAAAAAACAAAACTCATTTGATAAGACTTATAATTATATATTTCAAATGGAATTTGTGATTTTGATCGAATTCAAGTTCAAAAGTTTTTAGAAAAACTTACATATTTATTTTAATAAATAAAATGTTTTGAAAAAGATTTTACATGTTCATCCTCCAAAATTTCTTCTGCCAATAATATTACTTATTAACCAAAAAAAAAAACGAAAAATCCAAATTTTTCGAACATAAAATTCTCAAAATTTGAGTTTCAAATTCTATCAAAAAAGAGAAACTATTGCTACAGGTATTATTGACCTCAACAACAAATGCTACCACAAATGGCGAATAATATGGCGGTACAGGTAGGATAGGTTGTTGCCATTTTAAATATAATTGATGTGTACCTGCTCCTATCATAAATGATAATATTAGAGCGCAAAATCTTCGTTCTGATAAACCGAATGTTTGCTATAAAATAATAATATTTTCATAATTATTATAATTTTTTTCTGTAATCTTTTAAATTGTCAACTTAAGTTTTTTTTATTTGAAAATTTAATTTTAAATTTTAAACAAAAGAGAAGAAAAAAGATTTCAATTTTGTCTGAGAATTTACCATTGATATTTTACGATGTAAAAGAAATGCTAATTTTGGTAGTAAAATATGCAAAAAAATAAAAGATAGCATATTGCTTGCTGCAAATTTTGATAGTATTACATGACCAATGTAAGAATTGGCAAAATTTTCACCATAACATTTTGCATTAATAATAATATAATCCCAGAAATTACTACTAAAATAATATTTTATATTATTAAAATTTAAATTAAAACAAAATAATTGAAATCTTGTCAAATTTTAAATTCATTCATTTATTACAGTAAATTTGAAATTTAATTTACCCACCATCTTTAGATTACGCAAATAAATTTTCAACTGTAAATAATTTGATGTTATGTAAGTTTTAATCATCCTTCTCTTTTTTAATTAACTTTCTCGTTTAATGAATAAAATAAATCTTCCGAGAAGTTACTAGATGATATATTGGAGATAGAAGAAGAGATAAAGAATGATAATGCTTTGAGCTTATCACTTTATCATTATTTGATATTATAAATGATTTGGAATAGGTATAAATTTAAAATTTTAATTTCATAAATCAACTTTCAGTTTTTCTTTTTTTTGTTTTTATCAAAACTCACATCGTCAAAAATGAATAATCAAAATCATTTGGTATTGGTCCCAAATCAAAGAAGTGCTTGAATTCCTGAACTGATGAATCGACAACATTTTTAGGAAATTGAGTAATTTTTATGATCCATGATTGGATCAATGTCTTACTCAATCGATAAGTTATCAATCCAATATCACAAATGATTTCTTTGAAATCATTTAAATATATTTGTAAAACATTTGCTACACATTGATTTTGTAGCAATTTTTCTTCACTGTTGCACATCTTTGCCTTAATTTTAAACTATTTTAATAATTTGTATGACAAGATGAATAACTTATTAACTTAATAAATATTGTAATAAATTAAATATAATAAAATGGTATTTACCAAAATTAAATTACCTAAACTTTATTTGATATAATCAGACATTTTCGTTTACTCAAATTACAATGATGCAAAGCTTATTAAAAATTTTTTAAAGATATTTGGTAAAAAATTAATATGCAAAATTTATCAAACACAAATTTACTTAAATAGTTACAAATTTCTAAATATCTTTTAGTTATTATAATTTACAGTTTGTAAATAGTTGCTAAATTTTTGCATTTAATACTTTGCTAATTTTGATTAAAAAATTAGAATGAAAAATGAAAAAGAGAAGTTTTCACGAGAGATTGCTTTTCCATTGAAAGAAAGCTCTGATATTTCTCGATCACTAAAGATATCAATGAATTCTGAAACTGAAATAACTAATGAAATAATAAATCAGGAATTACGTGATATTATTCAAATGAATGAGGAAAGTTTGTTCGATTCACTTAAGTCAATTGAAGCTGTTTTTCGATAGTTTGTTTTTGATTACTTTATATTTAATAAATTTTACTCATCAGTTAGTCATTAATTTCAGATATTTATTAATTAGCTTATATTCTGATTAATTTAATCACTGATTTTCCTTTTATTGGGTCTCATAAATCTAAATGAAAAATAGAAGTAATAAATTATTGCTTACTTTAAAATTTAATAAAAGTTATCATAAAATACCAGCAAAATTCTAAGCATTGTTACGTACTAATCAAATTCCTATGTCATAATATATCGGTGACGTAAAAAAGAAAAGAAAATTAACTGAAGAAAAGAAAATCCAACATATTGTCGCCATTAAAACCTGAGATCGGGACAAAAGCAACAGCTTTTGGATTGTAGCCGATTTTCTTGATGTAATTCGAAACTTCATTTGTAACCTGAAACATTGGAAAACTATGATATCATTACCACAATCACAAAATTAATATTAGCCACCATTCAGTGTTGAATCCCTTTACTTTTGAAATGATTTTAACCTCATTGAATCGAGCTTCGGAGAAAGCTGGTTCAGTATAGAGGAGAAAGAAAGAAAGAGCTTCAGTTAAAGATAATTAAATCAAACAAATTAAACATTTTGTATTTTTAGCTTAATTTAATCTTTATTTATTTATTTTTTGTATGTGTTTGTACTTCAGTCAATATAGCAGTGAAATAATCGATGGAACTTTTATACTTATCAATGAAATTATCATTTTTTTTATTAATTTACGCATTAGCTTATGGCCAATGCTTAAAAAATATCCAATGACATTGTATCAAACTCAAATTGAAAAATTGCAAAAATGTTTTCAATTAGCGCCAATTTCAAATTCTTTCAATTTCACTTCTTGCATGGTGTTAGTTTTGATTTTATTTGAAAATTTAACAAATGTATGAACATGTATGATTTTACAGAGCAAAAAAGAATTTAATGTGAAAAATTCAATATATCTTGAAGAATGTATATACCTTAATGAATTCAAATAGTAAATATAAACAACTCTTGATGATGATGTTTATCATTACGATGATGAAGATTGCTATAATAGTGATAACGATAAAGAATGATGATGATGATGCTGATTGGTGATAGTGATGTTGATAATGTCAGCAGATGATGATAATGATAATGCCGACACTGTAACCTAGTGGAACCATTAGGAAAAGAGAAAAAATAAAAAAATTGGAAATTTATGTAAATGAAATATATCATTTGATAGTTTTAAATGATAAAATTGAATCCTTTTTAGAAGTCAATTTTGGGCAATTATAATTATAGCAGCAAAATGTTATGGTGAAATATTTGCAAGTATGTGGATTGGCTATTATTTGTTATCATTATTTTTGAGAAAGGAAATTCCATCTTTATTTTTCATTTATATTGCGATGCCATTATTTGCATACTTAACGAATCAAAAAATTCCAGTGGTAAATTACTTGCAGCAATTAGTCATTTAATTAATTAACTAATTGAACATTTAGTGTAACTAATTAATCATTCAGTCATTTTATTATACAAACTAATACAATTTACCAATCAAACGCCTCATTTCTTTGATAGATTATTATGTTACAGCATTCAAAAAGTATTACTTTTTTGTTAAATTTTGAAAATTTTGATGATTATTCAAAATTTTACGAAAAATTGCGGAAAAGTTTTGTATTTAAAAATATTGTTGTTCATATAATTTAGAGTAAATTAAGCTTAGCAGAACGTCGTTGGCTTATTTTGGTATTTTCATTTTGGATTGGTGCATCAACGCATTTCATTTTAATTAATTGGGATCGTGGCGTATTTCCATCGCCACCATTTTATTCGCCAACGCTTGTAGCATTACTTTTTGAGGTAACATAAATTAGCAAATTAAGAAATTCAATGTAACCTGTAAAAAATTTGACGATTAAAAACATCTTTAGTTTATTTTTAGAAATTTTTTTTTTTTAAAATTAAATATTTAAAAACACTCAAAATATTTTCAGTTTGTTGGTCCAATGGTAGCTTATGATCGATCGTTACTTCTTTTAAATACCATTGGTATTGCAACACTCGTATGCTTCACGTATGCATATGTTTATGCTTGCTTCACGTTCACGTATTTTTATACCTCTCTGATTGCAATTGCTTCATCATTTTATAGTATGCAACAGCATCTTGCTGATCCAAAATTAGGTTTTTCTTTTTTTTTTTTTTTTTTTGATTCATAGTTATATACTCAAATTTGAAAATAGAAACCATTTCGATTACTATAACTATTGTTAATTTCGATTATAAAATTTGACTTTTTTGACTCATTTTCCATTTTTAATAATAGTTTATCTTTTTGTTTTTAATAATTCCAAATATTACATCATAAATTAGATCCAAGAAATATTCACTTATTAGTGATTGATTCAATAAAATACATTTACAATGCTAATAACTCTATGATATTAATAGTTTGTATAAAAAAGCTTGCAGCTATTAAATTCATTTTCAATATTTATTCCAATTTAGCTACTAAGATTGCAAATTACTACCCTAAGATAATTGAATAAAACTAAATGAAATTTAACGGAACAAAGAAAAAAAACTGAAATTTATCGTTTTTTTTTTTTTAAAAAATCATTCTTAATTCATATTAATATTATAAAAAGTATTTTTTTTTCATTTTATGTCGTGGTGACATGACTGAAGGATATGTGTTACTACCAATTCAGTCAATGTACAATCAATTAGCAATAACACTTATATTTGGCCATTATCACTGGAATCGTAATCGGAATTCAATTAAACCGGATTCATTGGAAGAACGATATACATTACTATTACGTCAATTTCATTAATTATTTGAAGATAAAAGAAAATGTAATCATATCCATATTAATATTATTAAATAATTTACAATAAAATTTTTATTCCAAATACGACAAAATTTTAAAAATATTCCACTAAATCATACATTTATCATGAAGAAAAAAGGAAAAATATAAAAATTGAAAATTTCTTCTAATATAAATTTTTTAAGCAGAATGAATTATTTACGACATAAATTATTAGTTTTATCATGATTAAGTATTGATTATCATTTGTAATATTATTGTATTAGTGTCTTTTTCATTCTCTCTCTCTCTCTCTTTTCTCTTTTCTTCCTTAATAAAATTTTAAAATTGACAATTTTCACTTGGCTCATGTTGAGTACACTTTTAGAGCAAAAGAAACATAATAAAACACACTAAAGATGGGAAATAAACGGAAGAGCGTCCAAAATATGTTAAATCTTTGTGATAAAATTAAGTAGAAAAAAATTCATGATAAAAAGCAAGTATAATTGCTATACCAACTATAATCGTGATTTTCATAATTATTATTGTGGAAAGAATAAAGAAACTAGCGATTATTGGGGCAGAAAAAGGTTGAGAAATGTTGAAAACACCACTCTTTCAATAGATTTATTTTCTCACTTTTCTTTTCCATTTTACTTTGCAACAAAATTAGGTGCAAATTTGGTTTTATAATTTTCTTTTTTTTTTTTTTATTATCATTTTAATCATTGTGTTTTGGATAAAAGACATGAAAATAATCATAGTAACGGAAAGGTCAAATTAAATTTGCATTAATTAATCAATGATATAAATATTTTGGTGAATTTAAACCATTTCAGTGGTATTAGAAAATTCCCTAATGAAATTAAAAGAATCTTTTGTTTCCTCAAATCAGAATTACATTATCCTATTTTATATATAGGATTCTGCATTTTTTTTTTTTTTTTAAATATGATTATCGTGTGAATTATTTATGTGAAACATAATGAAAAAGATTAATTAACTTGGTGAAATGTGTATTTGAATGATCGAAAACAATCGGAAACAGAATTAGTTGACCTTTTCAATATGTGATCAAACAAATCAATGAATAATCAATCATTCTATGCTTAATGTGGTAAATTATAAAACTAAAAACTACAGTAGATTGTGATCTATGATCTGAATGACTGAGCAAATTGAGTGGTAAAAGTAAGCAAAGTTTATTGTCCAATCAGAAATGAGATAGTCTCGAAAGGTGACAATATGCTCATTGCAACATTTGCTGCAATGAATGACCACTGACCAAAACAAGCGGCAAATATCCTTTTATTTCTTTTAATTGTTAATAATAATTGCCCAAACTAAGTCTCAACTCGCAGTAAAAGTTACACTGCAAACAAATGCATGTCGCGAAATATTGCAAGTTAGTTGCAGTAAGTAGTGTCAAGGATTAATGTGGCCCTTACGTTCAGTGATGAAAATAAAGTTGAGCGTACCTTGCTTTGCTGTTTCATTGTCACGTGCGCTGCAGTCGGGAAGAGTTATGGAGGCAATTAAATCAGAACTTAACCTTGGTACCATCAAAGAATTACCACTTAGATTTAGTGGCGGATGTATTAATAGAGCTAAAGCATATAGCACTGATGAATATGGTGATATTTTTGTGAAATTTAATGATAACGAAAAGGTTAGCACTTCGATTTTTTTTTTCATTCTTTTCTCATCCATTTATTTCCCTAATTATTGTGTTGCGTTATTAATTGTTCACAAAAATACTGATATTTCTACAACACAATTAATAAAATGTTACTTTTTTTTTCTTGAAAAAATTCAAATTGTCAAATAGCATAAATTTGGAAATTTCATTTAAAGTCATAATTAGCAAATATCATTTCTCTATTTAATTACATATAATTTTTATGGTTTTTATTCATCTGAAACTGTATAAAACAGAAGTCATAAATTTTTAGATTTTAAGAAACTTGTGCTGTGAAATAAATCTTCCAGGCTCAGGAGATCTTTGATGGTGAATTTGCAAGTTTACAAGCATTGTTAAATACGAATGCAATTAGAGTACCGAAACCAATCAAGGTAGCAGCAGTTAGTAGTTGTGGTGAACAAATGTTTGATTAAATCCAGAATGTGATTTTATCTTGCTAGAATTTCTTGTATATTCAAATCATGAAACTATTTATTAGCTTAAAAAGTTTAGTTCTGATGATAATAGGTATGACCAAGCGTTGTAATGAGTTCTAATGATCTTTTCTATCTTATACAGTAATTTCAAATTAATTTCTTCCATTAATTCGAAATTAATGAATCAACAGTAAGCTATGGCTATTTTGTTACTTTTTGATGGCTAATTTGTTAACCTTCTCCAGAAACATAAATAGGTTTTTCAAAAACATTCTATATTGAAATAAGCCAGCATGCATGATTGTTCACGATGAAATTTATGGATTGGTAGGATTAGAATTTTAACTATAAATTTATTCACTGGCCGATTGTATCGCTTTTTTTTGCTTTATAAACATTATATAAATTTTAATGTCAGAGATTTTCGATAGATGGTGATTTCTGCTTAGCAATGGAATTGTTGGATATGCATGGTCCATCAGATTATGAGAAGCTTGGTACCAGTATTGCAAAGTTATTTTCTTGTATTGCACATAAATACTATTTTTACTTTCTTTTATTAATAAATTGTTTAATTTTGAATGATTTATTTAGTTTATAGAACTTAATTTCATGGATTAAAGAACAATAGATTGTTTCATCGCTCAGTTTCATCCACTAAAAAAATAGAATTTGTTTGAGAAAACATATGAATCTTCAAAAACTCAGACTACTAAAGATGTTAATTCACAGTCAGGATGAATTAACTAGAAAAAATGAAGAAGAAAAGAATGAAGCTGAGTAATAAAAAATTTTGGACCTTTATCGCACAAATGTGGGTCTTATCAACGAAATGATCATTTGTCATCATAAAAAGATGAGATCTTCAAACATAACGTTTCCTTCTAGAAGTTAAAATGTATCTTTTATAGATTATGCTAGATGGAAAATATCCTAGAAGTAATAAATTACTTCTCCGAGAAATGGTTAAGGTTTTATGAATAATTGAGGTTGCTGTAAAGATATTAAGGCAAACTGATAATAAATTTCAGGTGAAAAAAAGCCTTAATTACTAATTCTAGATACTCATGAATATTTCAGATTGCATTTACATAATCAATTCTTAATGGAAGCAAATAAAAAGACTCAGTCAACAATTGGTGGTATTGACAAACAGTCGGAACCAATTGAGAAATTCGGATTTTCTGTACTTACATACAGTGGATATTGCCCACTTATTAATGATTGGTCAGATAATTGGGTGGTAAGTATTGTTTTTTCTTTTTTTTTTTCGTACATTTCTGGCATATATTAAATAATTTTCCAAGAATATATGAATATTTAGGAGAATTATCAATTGAAAATATCAAACAATTCGCGCGCGCTTTTTTAAAAAGGCTCATTGGTAGAAAATGTTAAATGATCAGTATTGTTCGTAATTATTTCACGTGAAAGTTTGGTTAAATACTAATTATTTCACGTGAAAGTTTGGTTAAATACATTTTCACGTGAAAGTTTGGTTAAATACTACATATGGTTTTAGAAGGATTGCTTAAAAAAACAATATGTCATCATTTTATTTCATCTAATGAATGCTTATTTTAGGAATTTTATTCGCGGAATCGACTGAAGAAAGTTATTGATATCGTTCTTGAGGTCAAATCATTTGATAAAAAAACAAATAGTTTATTTTCTTTTTCTTAAATATATAATCTTACAGTTATAATTTTAAGAAAACGAAGTTATTGTAGAAAACCGGTGATAGGGAATTATTAACTTTATGGCCAAGACTGGAACGGAAAATTCCCGAATATTTCAAAAATTGTGATATATATCCATGCTTATTACATGGTGATCTCTGGTCTGGAAATTATTCGTTTACTAAGGATGGTCCAGGTTAGACCTGTCTCATAGATAATACGTTCGTTTTTACTAATAATTTAATCCAGTCAGTAATATAAAATATGATTAATATTGTATTTTTCCGATTGTGTCAGCAAAAACTTTTAATTGCTTTTGGAGAGATTGACTCAGAATTTCATGAAACGAGGAGCAGTTTTTTTTTTTTTTTTTGTAATTTTTGGAAATTTGCAAAATTACAGTAGTGTTTGATCCGGCATCTTTCTACGGGCATAGCGAATATGAGTTTGGCATTTTGACTATGTTTGGTGGCTTTCATCAATCTTTTCATACAGCGTATCACAAACTGATACCACAAACTACAGGATTCACCGAACGTGTCCTTCTTTATCAGCTCTTTCATCATTTAAATCATTGGTTGTATTTTTTGTTCTAATTTTCATTTCCTCTATGAGAAAAATGAATTTTGAGCATTTCTTATTAGAGAAATAGCAACCACTAATTGTTGGAGAATAAAATTTTGGTTGAGCGTATCATTTATTCACTTACTGTACGGTTGCTAAAAACGAAATTGTTCTTCTGATATTCGTACAATGATCATTTATTGAAAAGAAAAAAGGTTAGCTCTATGATTTTTGGCTAATAAAATTTCTGTGAATGACAAGATTATTATCAGTGAATTCAAATCCTTCTTGATATTTCCAAATTAAATTTCCCTTCATTATTGAATCAAATAGCTAATTCACAATATATTTATTGAATATTCATCTATCTACCAAAGAAGATTATATGAACAATATCGAATAATGATAAGTTATCGAGATTCAAAATAACAATCATTTTGTTAAAATTAGAAAGGCATTGTTGATTGATTTTCTTTTTGTCTTTTTTTCTCACTTTTTATCTATTATTGATTTTTTTTTCTCTTTGCAGGAATCACTTTGGTACTGGATATAAACATGGTGCATTAAGCTTAATGCGAAAACTTTTATAAAAAAAGGACGGAATTGTATAAAATAAGAAAGCAAAAGGACGAATTTTTTATTTATTTCATTTTAAGATGTTTTTGCATAAAATTCTGGCTGATTGATATTAAAATTTGTATAAAGTTAGTTTTGAAATTCATATTTCTAATGATATATTTTAAAAGTAATTTAGCCAAGAAATAAAAGAAATTGATAAGCTTCTTTGACATACTTCACAATTTTCAACAACTTGCTGGCTAGAAACGCTCGTAGAACAAAAAAAAAAAAAAAAAAAAAAAAAACAGAAAAATGACTGATATTATTGTTATACCTTATTTTACTACATTTTCTATGAATTTTATGGTTAGCATTACATCAATGTTTTTGAGAGTGAGAGTGAGAAATTATTTATTGTGTACTGAAGAATGTGAGCAAGTAAAAATTGTCAATTTTGAAATTTTATTAAGATTAATCGGGGGAAAGGGAGAGGGAGAGAGAAAAAGAGATTAATTCAATGCTATTACAAATGATAACCATGAAGCAGACTATGAATAAGTTCAGTAATTAGAATCACATTAAACAGATCAAATTGAGCCCGGTAAATTTGATTTAATCATTCCAGTCAATTTGGATGCTTTAACAATTCCATGTTTGCGAATATTTTTTTAATTTACTACCATTTACTGCTTAGTTACGATCGTTAACTATCATGAATACTTGATATTGTTAGAGTTTAAAAAGTATAAATTTCCTTTTAGCAACCTTGAAGGTTTTCGTTAATTTTAGCTTGAATATTTGATTGTGTAATTCAGTTAATCCTTAAATTCTCAACTTTTTTATTTTTATTTTGATTATGAAAAGACGAAAACAAAGAAATGAAATGAGAGAGGAGAATAAAATGGAAGGAAATATCAATGAGAGAGAGGGAGAGAGCAAAGAAGAGTTGAAATAAAATGAGCATTAAAAGCAATTTCTATAAATAACAAGCATAAAGTGCATCATGTTCTATCATTTATTCTCTCTTTTTTTCTTTTCAAATTTTATTCCAATTTAAATTAAATTCAAATTCAGTTGTCGAATAAAAATAATCAAATGGTTATTTGAAAAGGAGAAAGAAAGGGAGAGGGAGGGAGAAAATTGTATGTAATACTAGTATTTTTATTTTTCTGCTTTATTAACTTTACTTCATCTTTACCACTATAATATAATGTGTTAGTATCTAAAAGTAATCTAAACAAATAATTCGATAAAAAGAAGATAAAGCTAATATGCAGATTACTTACTTACTTCCATTGCTATCATTTCATATCAGTTCACTTACTTATACTTTAGCTAAACCAAATCTATTTATCGATCATTTCTGCTCAAGTTTTTTTTCCTTCTTCTCTTCCCTTTCTTTTTCCATTTATTCATTCTTTTTTCTTTCATTCTTACTTTCTTTCTTTTCATCACTACGAATTATGTTTGCTTCAATAAATAACAAATAGGAAAAGATGAAGGAAGATAAGTTTTATGATGTCAGAAGAGACATCATGTCCCCTACTAGCATTAAATTGATTGTCACAAAAGCTTTTTGTCACATATATTTGTTGCTGTCTATTATTATTTACTTCAAAATTTTCTTTCATATGTTATGAGGGAAAAAAAGCTAATAGAGTTGCAAAAAACTTTTTTTTTTTCTACTATTTTCTACTAAGGAAATCTATTAAGCCAAAATTACTTCAATTTTAATGTTTGAAATTTTTTTTTTTGATTTTTAAATATCTTTTCCTTAATGAAGTATATATATATATATATATGCTTTTTTGCTTGAATAAGACCAATTATATTTTAAAAGATATAATTTTTATTCAACAAATCAAATTATTTAATTAAAAGATATTCAAAATACAGAAATGTTGAAATGGTTGAGACGATTCAGGAGCAAGTTTTCAATCCATTTATATTTAAATTTAAAACTTCACTTCATGTGACTTATTATGATATGAAATCATATCAGCGATATAATTTTTTTTCTGAATTTTTTTTCCTAAAACAGTAACAGAAGTCCTCCACGGAAGAAGCTAATATAACTCATAAATCTATAAAGGAATAAACTATAAAGATTAAAGGTTGCAGCATGATTTGTATTTTACTTAATTTGGAGATGATCATAACAGTGATAACGATGATGATAATAAGTTATGTAGGGATTATATAAGAACAAATTATGCAATAATTTCATTCATATTAGTTATATAAAACTACATTTCCAACGACTGATTGCATGTTTAGTTTATTTTTACTTTTTTTTATTTTCATTTTTGACACTCATTTGTATCACATGCTGCCTTGATTGAAAGTTCAATTCTCTCATTTCCTCTCTAAATATTATCATTATCAAATTTTCTCACTGAATAAGATGAATTAACAAATTCAAATGCAAGCATTCAAAAAGAAAGAGAAAATAAAAATGCCATATATATATAATTGAAATAAAGATAAAATAATTGCTAAATGCCAATACTGTTAGTTAACAAAGAAAGTTGAAAAAACTTATACTTAACGAATTATCAATCACTGCTCATTAGTATCGGAATAACTGCTAATAAAACGAAATATGGTATTACGTTAACGGGTTGAATTTTAAATTAAAATTGAAAATATACCGCTAACCCTCTTTACCTATAATATTTTTAAACTTAACAATAAGCTAGAAGGTGAATGGTTGAAAGTAATATTACAAACAATCTCCTTATCAACTGTTACCACATTTCACTAACCTCTCTTAATTTTTAGCAATTTGTTCCTTAACCGGTTACGACTTATTTTAGTTTCCTTTTTTCTTTGGTTTTATAAATTGTGAAATTTAATGTTTTCACTTCACTTCTTTCTTCTCCACTTAATTTTACCAATTTTTCTGTCATCTCATTTCCTCCATTCTCCTTCATATTTCGCAGTCTTTTATTTCTCTAATTTTACTTTAACTTTTCGTATTTTGTTTCAATCCTTATTTCATTTTTTTCATTACATTTTTTCTTTTTTTATTTCATTTGTTTTTTTTTTTTAATTTCATCAGACATCTTCTAACTTTTGCTTTTTATCGTAATATTTGTTCAAGGAAAGCATTTTGGTCAGATTTATTAGAAATCAGCTTAAAGACATGTGAAAGTTTATACGAAATTGTAAAAAATATGAATTATGCAGTTACTTTTCATTAGTTTGTTTTCTTAAATCATAGGATCAAAGATGACGGTAAAAATGAGAGTTCGGAAATGTCCCACAGATGATTTGGCACTAACAAATTGCGCAATTGTGAATGCTGGTGCGCTAAATGGAGTGGAAATTAAGTGAGTGATGTCATTTTTTCATTTGTCAGTACAACTATGAAGAGACTGTTGAGTAATGGCAGACATAATTGATAGCCGAACGATCATCAACAATCATAGTTTAGTGAAGCGCATATTTGTTCACTCATCAGAAAGAAAAAAAAATGCTGCAGTTGATGATATAAAAATGTCTGTATTATATTTAAATAATTGTATATGTAATGAAATTGATTATAAATTGAGATTTTTTTTTTATTTTTGTCAGAGAAATTGATTAGAAATTGAGATTTTTATATGGTATGATTTATTTGATAATGAAAATTAGAAAAGGACATGGTGGAATCGAATAAAAAATGAGGAATAGAAGAATTAACATCTGAAAATATTCATTTTGTTGCTGTTTAATTTACTTAGACATCTATTGGTGAAGACCGGTCCAGCTCATCACTTCGTTTTTTCTGTTCGGAATCATCCATCGTTGAAGATTGATGAGATAGCTTTTGCTTTATCTCAGCGTAAATGGGCTAAACTATCATTGGATCAAGAAGTGGAAGTACAACAATTCACTTTCAATAACAATCAGTTCATCGGGTCAATTACTGTTGCTGCTGATTTCCAGTCAAAGAAAAAGTAAGCTTATTCCATTGAAAAATTCTTGGAAATTTAAAATTGCTCGGATTATTTGATCATTATTTTATTCATCGTTAAGAACCTCGTAAAATTTGAACCTTTTATCTTGCAATTTTTGTTCTTTTTTTTTTACTGCATATCACATCACAGTTATTTTTTTTCTGTTATAATTTTATGTTTTAAGATACCAACGTTTTATTATTTCTCATAATTCTTATCACTAATTTTATCATTTCTGATAATTTTAATTGTATCATGATATCATTGACTGCTGTTATTTTTATTCATATGCTTTTTTAGTCACTGTTCTCTAGTCATTGTTTCCTGTCAAAATGTTTGCATTTTCATCTTCATGTCATAGTTTATATAACTTTACTTTCATGATAAACTAAGCTTTTAATAGGTAGATTAAGATGATGGTTAATTTTCACTAATTCTCTTTTTTATTTAAATTTTTAATTCTGTGTTTTCAATTATATTTTTAATATTTTACTATAAATTCACATATTAGAAAAACTGGAAAATTTCTTTATATTATTCTTTCAGTCAAACATCTGAACCATTAAATACAGACTTTATGGCCCGTGAATTCTCTATCCAGTTCTCTGGTCACGCATTTACACGTGGTGAATTATTGGTGTTTAAATTTGATGACGATAAAGGGAAATCTTATACTCTGGCTTTAACAGTGACATCAATACTCGGTAAGTAAATGTGTCTTGGATTAAGATCTAATTCTGTTAAGATCTTTCTGTAAAGCTAGTGTAAGTTAAGTAATTTAAAATTCAGTCAAAGATCTGTGGCTGTTGGTCATCTATAAAATAATTTGTAAAGTAAGAAAGTTTTTGTGTGATAACGAAATCTCTAAAAAAAAAAATAATTAGAGTCATATTTTACTTCTAGCCATCATCTTATCACTTTCTCCTGAACTATCAGTATTATTGATACTTTAATGAAAGCTAAATTATCTGTTTCAAGTTCTTATATTTTGAAGAAGCACGGAAACTATTTTTCTAATATCAATTACTCTTTTCTGGATCATGAATAATAAAAGACATTGTGCGATATATTTCTTTATACTACTTATTGCT